CCCGAAGCCCGGCCACGCGACAACAAAGGGTTCGCCTGCCCAGTTCTGTGTCCAAATCAAGAAAAGGGTCATGTGCAAGTTCTCTTGTGTAAATACAATTTAAATGGACCATTGTTAATGGGTGTGTGGGTGTAGTTGTGGGCGTAGGTGTGTGAGTGTGAGTGTGAGTGTGACTGGGTTTGAGTGTGTAAGTGGGTGTGTAGTTGTGCTGTAAGAAGAAAGCCAAACTTTTAGCAAGTGGGAATGCTGGGATGTTACGACTGTGCATGTTACTTCAGATGCTTTAAGAGTAAAGTATCCAAATTGTTGCCTACTTCTTTGCAGGAATACCTTAAATGCCGCCTTATCTTCCCTTTGCGTGGATGCCTCTGGCACTTCTTGAATGTTAATTCAATTATTTGTAATAAGTATTCAATTAATTATTATAATTGCAATTATTGCAAATTAAATTCTTCGATAGATACTTTGTAAGAACTTCATTAAAAACAGCTTACTATTGCTTCAATATTTAAAATCAGTTTGAAGTTAATTATTATGGATAAGCAATGTTAGGTTAACTTTTTGATCTCGCGATAAACGATAGTAACTATTTATTTCTTTATCTCGCACATCTTAAATTACATAAGCCCCACAAAGTATGCCAAAATACTCTCAATAGTGCGGCAATAAACTTTAACCAGACCTGACATATACATACATATATATAGAAAGTTCACATTGTTTAACATTTTTTACTCAACATTCGATTTCTTATACACAGCATATGTATATATATATATATATATATATATATATATGTTAAGTAAAAAATGTTTGCAAACAATACGCATTTTATGCGCTTAATTTCGTTTCAGCATGCCACAGAATATAATTGATAGGGAATAAAAATAAAAAAATACAATAAAAATAAAATATATTTGGGCTGCCGAAGCTAAAAAACAAAACCCTTGCAGATAAAAGCACACAATTATTATATTTAAACATGGAAAGCTCGCCAAAACCAGCAATAAATATTTATAATTAACTTTATAATCTGGTGCGACGTCTGACTTCTTGTTAGCATTCTATCCTATTTTTAGTCTGTTAACCTAACCCTCATTATAAACAAATTTAAAAGCATTTAATGGAGGATGTGCTGGCAAAGCCAACAGACATATATTCGTAAGTTTATATTTTAGATACGTTTTTGACAAAATATTACGTGCTGACATTAATGAAGATAAGTTAACCTCAATAAGTTGTTGAGATTCTATTTTGTTTAAAAGAAAAGACAACGACAAATGTAAGCTAAGACTTCTACAAGTTAGTTAAAAAGCTAAGCTGGGCTTTGGCTGATCATCAATAAATATGATACATATATAATGGCTATGTAGATGATATTAGACACCTGCTAACAAAATCACCACGCCCTCTGCAAGGGCATAAATATAAATATTAAACAGGAAACAGAAACACGCAGAATTTGACTGGTGACTGCTTATAACCAAGTTTATTATTGAATTAAGCGACGGCTCTTGACAGTTTTATTGTGCAGCCAGTGACTGGGCATAATTCAATCGAATGCAATTGAGATTAAATGAAATTTACAATTTTATCATTTCATTTAAAACTACATAAAACAGTTAAATGCAATAAAATCTACGGCAGTTTTTAGTTTTTGTTGTTGTTGGTTTTCGTTTGCCGATTTCGTTAGAAATCTACAGCCTCGTGTGGCGTTAGGAACTTGGGAGTGTGTGCGTGTGTGTGTGTGTGTGTTTTTAAATGGTATGATATGAAGATTTTTGCGCTATTTCAGGCCTCTTTCAAAGCTTGTTCACAATGTTAGCCAAGCCTTTACAGCACAAAAAAGCGTTAGTGCCAAAGAAAAAATTATAAAAAAAAATAAAATAAAACCAATAATAAAAACAATTGACATAATTTCATGGTGAACACTTGCTACCGCCTGCGATGTGCTATTGCGATAAATAAACATGTTTGCAACCTCAATGGCCGCACTCAGTACTATCGAAGCAAGCGGACTCCCAAGCCAAGGGCGGATTGAGGGGCTGAATGGCGATATTGTCGAGTGGACGCCACGTTGATGCGCTTGATGATGGTTTTAGCCTTTTGGCATTGCCACTGACTTGATTATCGGACAGTCGTTTAATTGGCTGCAGCTGCGGCAGGCCGAACATTTGGTATTGTGGCGTCACCAAATTTAGCAGCCTGCCCTGGCTGCCGCCGATTTGCATTTGGGGCAGCTGTTATTGACCACAGCGGATGATATTTCAGTGTCTTCCGTTGGGCATTGGCTTGCTATCGCTATTGCGATTGTTGTTGTTGCATCCACACTGGCTGCCCCCACAGTTTTTTGCACGCTTGGGCATATAGACATCTGTGTGGTTCAATTCTTGCCACGGGCCAGAACTGATATATAACCGAATCAGCAGTATTCAGGCATGATACCACCAACAACATATAAAAGGATGTGGGTGAGCACAGATCATATGATGATAATAAACTCTCGGACTCCACTCCCACGTCGTAATTTGAGTCTGTGTCCGAGTGGCCCCATCCGTCGTTTGGCATTTTCTTTCAAAAGCTGACCGGAGAAAATTGTTGGATAAATTAAATGAAAACCAAACAGAAAACCATCGAAAACAGGGGCAAATATTTGCAAAAGAGAATACTAAATACTAAAATAATAATGAGCTAAACGAGAGTATTCGAATAGGATATCCCCTACACACAATCAAAACTGCGTTTAAGAATAAAACTCCTAAAAAAAAAACAACAAAAATATATATGAAAATATACATAAATATAATTGGAAACAGACAGATTTGTTAGCTTACACTTTATATACCTTATTTTGGATACATTCTTTTATCCGCATAGGGTATGTATCTTTTTTCTACTTCAATTTACCTTTGTGCCAAAAAGCAACTCGGAGAACTTATGTAAATTGAAATCAAGTCTCAACAAGTCCCAACAAAATTATAATTCCACACACTTGGCGCTTCAATAACTCTTCTGCCTGGCATTCAAAAACACTTTTGTAGCGAGGCCTTAGTTTAAAATAAATTATAATTAAACGTTAACTTTAAACTGCCAACAAATGCCAGGGCTGAGGTGGGGCAGTCAAAAAACCAGTTAGTACACGAATAAACACGGTTGCAGGCACACACGAAAGCTGCTTAAAGGGCTTACAAAAAAAAAAAGGCAACAGAAATTGCGAAAACTAAACAAAAACTTTGTACCGCACGCTCTCTCAGCCCAATATGCTCGACTACCAGATACCCTACAAAAAACATCATATTTTTAAAGTTTAGTAGAATACAGATTGTTTAGCTGTTTCTTAGTTTTACGTTAGCTAATAAGCTTTTGGATACAACGTCAGCGATTTGATCGCCCCTTCGCTGCTTAAAATTCTCAAGTGGTTATGACTTCGCACTGAGCAAAAGGCCTTGCATAGCAAAGTCTGCTGATGAAATAGCTATACAGACACTCTTGATGTTCATATCTTGATCTTGTTCGTCGTCATGACCAACATTGCGCTCGAGCCAGCCTAAGGCTTAGTTTTCAGGTTACAACTTATTTTAACAGTTTTTACTCATTTCCTATATTTTATCTAAAATATTACAGTTAGAAGTTGTAGAATCATACTGAAAATAACCCAAAACTTGATCTGAAACACAAAACGAAAAAGTCCTGCATTGCACGGTATACAAGAAAGTCAATCTATTAAAACTGTTCGTTGCTGTGAAGGTGTTTTTACATATGTTAGGACATACGTATGCATATGCCAAATTTGCCTCTGAGTGTGTGTGTATGTGTTTGTGTGTGTGTGTGTGTGTTTTTGGAATTTAAATGTGTGTCTGTGTGTTTGTTGTGCTTGTTGTCCCTTTTATGGTTGCCTCGCGCTGCCTTTAAGCCTTTTATTTGTTGACGTCATCTTGTGCCCAAGGGCTGCGTGCTCCTTACAATCTACGTTCACTACCTCCACACAAACTTACACTCACACACACACACACACACACACACACACATACACTCACACTTACACAGATAAGCAGCAGTCGTCTGTAGATTTGCATTTTCCGTGCCTCATCTATTTTACGTATTCATCGCCTTTTTTGCATGCGTTTTATTTTCTGCTCGTTATTTGTTGTGCACACACATATATTTTGGCTCTCAGCTCATTTTATTACAAGTGGATTTGTCGCATCGCAACACCGAAAAAATATGGATGTGCGTAAATGCTCCTGAGCTTATTTTGATGTGTACTTGTTGAGGTCCTTGCTAAAAGGACAAGAAAAGAATACAAGGAAACCCCAGAGATCAAAAGGGGCGGCTGCTGCTTGTTGGCTTTGCATGTCAACAAATTGAACATGTTAAATCTCACCGCCAGTTGATGATCTTCCATTTGCGTAGAATATTTTTTAATATACGCATTTTACACTTTAATCCGCTTTAAGACTAGTTAACAAGTTAAGAACCTCTCTAAAGCTAAAAATATATCATACACATTTTATACCAAATTTCAATTTTAAGCCAAGGCTGCAAGCCCAACAAATATTAGTCTATTGTTCGGTTCAATGTTGGAGCCACATGTCTGCCCTTAGATTCGATTTGAGAAGCTGGTTTGTCACAACCTTAAACCAAGGCTTTTGATATGCGATATAATTATATTCAAACATAAATGAAATACTTGATCTTTTTATTGAAAATATTGACAATCGACCCCATAAAATCCATCGAACCACCTTTTAACCACTTTCGAACTAGCTCCATGAGCTTTAGACGGAATTATATCTTGCAATATATAAACAATAATCACGCTTTGACCCAGACTGGAATTATCTGCTCTCCCAATCATTCAGAGCACTCTCGAAATATGCCTTACGGTCAGAGCGAGGGAACTCCTTTCGAACTAGTTCGAAATCCAATCACTTTAAGCCGACGCTTATCCCAACAATAAAAGAAAACAAAATTGTAGTCATTTAGCACTTGAACTTTTAATATGTTATTGCGCTAATAAAGGATATATTGGTTGACCCCGTTCTGGGTTTTATTTACGCTCCCGCACCAGTCGCCTGCTGTAGGTCAGGGACACCACCTTTAGGGAGTCCATAAAACGATCCATGCACTGCAGCAGGCAGCGCTCCTCGGCCCTGGCCAGCGATTTGCCTGGATTGTCGATGCATTTTCTGAAGCAGTTCACAGTTATCTTGCCCAGCATCTGCTGTGCATTGGCCAGAGCGATCTGTTGGCGCATATTCCGCAGTGTTTCGGTGCAGTTATGTGACGTTGTTTGTTCCATACCTCACATCTCTTTACGCTCCCGTCGTCTCTCCTTCTCAAGGTCTGTATGTCTTTCTCTCTCTCTCTAGTGGGAGTTCTTCAAAAAATTTGCTTGATTTGTGCTGCAGCCAAAAATTGTTGTATTGTTGTGTGTATTTGAAGTGAATTCTCTGGGGAGAAGGCTAAACATTCATATAAGGCATGCCTTGAGTTTAATACAAAAATTCCACTCTGCTGTGAAAACCGGGGAAGGGTGAATAAAGGAACTGGAGCAAGCACTGTGCCATTGCGTATGGCAAATGGATTCGACAGCAGTCAAGATGCAGTTAACTGTTGCCCCATCTCAATCCCGGCCAATGTCAATCATATCTTATGCATGCAAATCTGAAAAGCCCAAAGTGCAGACACTTGCACAAAACCTTCGCATGACTCCACTCACCCAATCGATTTGCTGCCAATACAGTGGAAAGGAGTTGCAGAAATGTATAGATGTATAATAAATAGTGCACATTTTGTACAGGGTATTGCATAGTCGACCATTTTAGATCCATTGGTGTCGTTTATGTTGCTGATAAATTATAGACAGAAATTTTCCATTTTCTAGACGTTAGCTGACGCCAACTGACAGCTGACTTGACATTGGACTCCCTGGCACCCAACGCAATGGCACGTAAAATAACGAGTCAGGAGCGGGGACAACGGCTTAGAAGTCACAAAGCGAGAGAGAGAGAGAGAGAGAGAGAGAGAGAGAGAGAGAGAGAGAGAGAGAGAGAGAAAGAGAGGGAGATAGAGTGGAAGAGAGTGTGCACACTGTCACATTGACATAGATGGCCTCATTGACTGAGTGCGCTGCTTTTGTTGCAATAATGGAATATGACTTCAACTAACCCAACGATAAAATGTCAATGCTATTTTCAACTGACACACAATTCACACCAACTAAAGGACATGAGCCCATAGGCATAGAAATGGTCATAATAATCATCTGCATACTAATATTTAATAAGAAGCTAATTAATTTGACACGTAATGAATGTTTGTGTGGCTGTTAAGCCGTAACACGTAACGATAATCGATAAATATCATAAAGTATCGAGAATTTAAGATTTGCTTATCCGTCTGAAACTTAAGTATATTAAATATAATTAAATGTACTGCATATACATATAAAGTTGAGTTACACATTTTCAACTGGAATCGATAATTTATAAATGCGTAATATCGATAAATACACACAATATGAAATATTTATCGATTTGTGTCGAAATCTTTGGTCGTTTGGAGCTAAACAAATTAGGCCACAATCTCGTAGTCGTCCACGTTCCAGTTCTACTTCCGCTTCCGTTAATCGAGTCATGTCCTCGCTGCATCGCAGCGCGTGCTGCTACCGCTAGATGGGCTGGTTACAGGGCCAGGCGTTCGTTAGCCACTTGGATTACACTTGGCCAAAATTTTTCGTATGTTTCTCTCTCACTTTCGCTGAATGCAGTTCGTTTTTGTTGCTCTTGCTGTTATTTTTATTTGTATTTTTTTTTTACTTTTATTTGTTGCTGCTGTTGCTGTTGCTGCTGTTCTTGTTCCCAAACGGCGCACAAACAATGGCAGGCGACATTGTGGCACACGGGGGGCGTTTGAGGATGGGTCTGGGGTGGCATGCCACACGGACATGCAAGGCCATCCCCATTTCCAGCACCCCCGCTTGACTCTTTGCCCGCAGGTCGCCATTGTGTTGCAGTTTTTGCTCTTTTGTATACGTAACTGCCTGCCGCACCAGCTGTTCACCTGGACAGACGACAGGCGAGAGCCAACAGCCGACGGGCGATGGGCGATAGGTTGTGTGGTATATGGGACTGGTGGGGCTACAGTTGACAGCCACTGTATTGCATAATCAGTAGCCATAAGCCGAGCTTGGCAGCAGGGCGCACGGGGTTAGCCCGAGCCCTGCTTGATCAGAAGTATATGAACATTGGCTGCAGCAGAAGCGTCTAAATATTTTTTCGGGAAACTTGCTATCTTTAGCATTAGCATATCCCAGCTATTCATATATTCCATAACAAACATCAATGCAAAGTTGTACACTTAATCAAGTTGATGATGCCAAAAGCAGCGAGAGAGGTGGTTGGGGATTTAGGGGCAGGTGGGGGCATGGCAAATGGGTATGTGAGTGGGGTGCGAAAGTTTCTCATGTGAAAAGTTTTGCAGTCATTTGTTGTTGCTGCTTTACAACATTTTTCATCTTTGCTGCCTTTGAGTCTTATTTGTTGCACGTCAGAGATGCCACCAGACGGCGGCTGCAAGTGTCCACATGTGTGTGTGTGCGTGTGTGTGTATGCGTGTGTCTTTTGCAGTGAAGAGCGCACACATGCAGACACATACACTCAAGGAACTTGCTGCATGATCCAATTCATTAAATGAAAATTATATTTATGATTTAAATTACATTTTAGCCAGCTTGACAGCCCAATGGCAAGCAAATTGTACCATGTGTGTTTGTGTGTCTATATGTGTGTGTTATGTCTGTGCGTGTATGTGTGCGTGCTTTTTATACCCTGAACCCATTGAAAATGGGTAAAAAGGGTATTATGTATTTGTATGTAACAGGCAGAAGGAAGCATCTCAGACCCCATAAAGTATACATATTCTTGATCAGCATCAGTAGCCGAGTCGATCTAGCCACGTCCGTCTGTCCGTATGTATGAACGCAAGGACATCAGAACCTATAAGAGCTAGAGACTTTAAATCTTAGCTGTACTCCGTTTCCAAACAATCGCTAAAAATCGATACCAACAGCCTTTTCTTTGAGTAAATTGGGTAAATATTAAGAGCTAGTCACCAAACTTGATATGTTGCTTCTAGAATAGTATATATACATAAAGTATCTTTCATTTTATACCTATCACCACCTCCCCGCTATGACCGCAGAGCTATAAATCAAGTTAATAACCCAACTTGTATTGCCCATCAATGCAATTGGTACAATAAGATATACTGTTATACGTGTTTTATACGTGTTTTATACGTGTTTGCGGCAGCAAGCGCAAATTCCAAGAATTTCTGTATACATGAACATACACACATTCATGCGCGTCTGCTTCGAATTCTATCAACAGCATTGCAATTGCGATTTTTTCTGTGATGCTATTTGAATTCGTTTTTTTCTCAATAAGAGTCAATTATTGGCGTGGCTGTTGAGTAGAGGCAGTGGCAAATAATGCGGTCAGTTGCGAGTCAAACCCTGCCAAGGGAACTTTTTTTAAAATTTTTTTATTACTATTAATATTAATGTTATTATTTCTAATACCGAAAAAAATATATCTTGATTTTTATTTTGATAAAAGACGACATATAGTCGCCGGATTCAATTTGTTAAATGGCTGATGATTACTGATTTTGTTAAAATGTTTACAGTTTTGCAAATACCAAAATGTGCTGTGGTTATGTTCTGTGGTTCAAGAGTTGGTTTCTGTGTGAAAACCAAGGCTACAAATCGGTTTTAAGCCGAACAGGCACGAAGTTTCTTTTTACACCCCGAAAATGGATGAACTGCGTAAAGTGGGTTTGTGCAAATGTATGTAACAGGCAGAAGGAAGCATTTCCGACCCCATAAAGTATATATATATATTCTTGGTCAGCATCAATAGCCGAGTCGATCTAGCAATGTCCGTCTGTCTGTCTGTCTGTCTGTCTGTCTGTCTGTCTGTCTGTCTGTCTGTCTGTCTGTCTGTCTGTCTGTCTGTCTGTCTATCTTTCTGTCTGTCCCTCCGTCCGTGTGCATGAACGCGTCGATCTTAGAACCTTTAAGTGCTAGAGACAAAGGTAACTTAAAAGTAGGTCCTCCTTGTGTCCGCGCAGTATGAGCATGTTTCCGAGAATCGATAAAACTGAAGTCGAAATCTTGCTTTTTAAGCAAATCTCTTTGGTTTTTGTGGCCAAGTCATTAAATTTGACATGTAACATCTAAAATAGTATACACAGATCAAGTATCTTTCATTTTATAGCCAACTTCCATATGAAAATATTACTCGAATTATATTCAAGCTGCAAGTTTTGTGGGGGTTCAAAGACCTGGTGCGGATAATTTAAATTTCTGAGTGAATTATTTGTTCTTATAAAATATATTCTAAGAGTTTTATAAGATATGCCATATTTTAAATTTTAAATTATTTTTTGAAAATGTTTAGAAAAAATACTAAAAATACGAATCGAGTTTTTAGTTTGTTTAAAATTTGTGTATTTTCGAAAAGTTGCACAAATCGAGCGACCCCTGTACTATGACATGTCATGTTTCAGTTACGAACTTCCCATAATCTTAAAGGGCTGAGCCCGTCATTCGATGCCCCCGTGTCTGACAATAACCTGATGTTAGGCAATTAACCGTAATCAAAGCTAAAAAGCTTAACTGTATGCACAAGAAATTAAATGAAAACAAACTCAAGAATCGAGCATGTGGCTGCCTGGCAAGCGCTGAGCGCCTGTTTTCAGGTTGAAAGCATTTGTATGAGACACAATTTCGCATCAAGATACTAACCAAAAGTTCTCGCTCGAAGTTGAAGTGGGAGTGGGAGATGGAGCTGCTGTGGGAGCTGCTGTCTTCAGCTTTACGACAAGCAGCTCCCCTCCAAAAAAAAAAAAAAGGCACAAACAAATTTAATAAGCGTAGCCAGCTACAAACGACAACAAACAGCAGCAGCAGCAGCAGCAACAAGAGCAAGAGTTGGTAAAGTTTCAAGTGCGACTACGCCCAGCGCTTTGAGTGCACAGTGCACACCCGCTACCCGCAACCCGAGCCGACCACCAAGTGCGTCATTTTATAAACAAAATACATTCGTAAATTTGGCGGAAATTGTTTTTGTTTTGTTTTCACACAAATACAAAACTGCCTGCCTGACAACTAAAAAGCGACCTAGAAGCTACAAAATCAACTCAACAACGAGAAGAAGAAAAAGAAAAAAAAATAAGATTGCCAGGCCAAAGGATGTGCCGTGCCCAAAATGGGCTGAGCGATACAATTTTCCATGTTCTTATGTCTGGCAAATTGCTAAATGAATCAAGCAAAGTGGCCCCAAAACCTCAAAACCCGTTTTGCTGCAGAGCAGTTTGACATGCCCCTTTTGGGGGCTAACCACGTTTCGTTTTGTGTTTCCGTTGTTTTGGGTTTATGTTTTCATTTAACTGATGAAACTGGCGAGAAGGACCCCAATTGTTGTAGTAGCTTTGAATGACCTGCAGCTACGCCTATTTGTCACTTGCGTTCCCCCCGCTCCACACAACCAGCCATTCTACCCTCTATATCCTTGGCATGCTCTTGATTAATGTGTCGTCCGTTTCGAGTCTCGTTTAATTGTTGTGGCCAAAAGAACTCTCATCCACGTACATACATACACCTGTTCAGCTCTACACACACACACACACACACACACCGACATACTTATATACATGCCCGGATTTTTAGGCTAATAACTCTTAACCCCCCTCCCCCTTTGGTCGACTGTAGCTAGTTTGCTGCTTACATTTCCGGTCGCTGTTTCTATTTTCTTAATTGTTTCCGTTTCCGTTTCCCTAGCAAAGTGCAGCCATCTATTTTAATGCATTTGCACCTAGCCACATCCCCTTCCACGCACTATATATATATTGTGCAATATTTTGGTCTATATATTTTTTCATTTCGGGTTTTTTTTGTTTGTTTTAGTTTTGCTATAAAACAACAAAAGTTCACGGCGACGACAGTCTCAACATTTCTTTTTTATTTATTTTTTTTTTCATGAAGGACATTTTTATATATATTATGTATGAGAATATATATCATATGTATGACATGAGTACACTCAGACAGCCAAAAAAAAAAAAAAAGATGTATACATATATAAAATAAATTGCTGGACAACCTTGGCAAATGTCTCTGGCCTCCTTTCAAGCATAGACAAAGTTCAAGCACAACTTGAATTGCACTGGAATAAATAAAAAATAAAAGGGAAAGAAAACCCAGAAGCAGACCCAAAATGCAGAGGCTAGAAATTTCAAGTTGAAATGTGTTTATTTAACTTAAAGGATCTGCCCGCAGCTTATGGCTGCTTTGGTCCAATCAGGTCCACTTTTAAAAGTTAACTTGTTGGCCAACAATTAACACGACTCCAGCTTGGATTTTGGCTCAATGTTTCTACTTGTAATCCCCAGGTCTGCGGCGCTTGTTATTATTGTATTTGTATTTAATTCTTAATTAAGGGCTTTGCTTTGTGGCCATTCTTGACTGTTCTTTGACCAAGCTGCTTAAATAACCTTTTAGAAAATGTTTTCTTTTGTACGCATTCGCCTTTTAGACAACGCAAGATATATGGTTTTGACAGCTCGGTTGGGTACCGCGAGAAAAAGTTTTCAATTAAATAAGCCTGTGTTAAACGCTGGAAATAATTAACTTTTGGCATCGAGTCAAAACCTTTTAAATTCCCAAAGAATTACAAACGTTTTTTATATCTAGACATTTCATGTTTTGCCCGAAGGCCAGTTTAAACATTTATACACATATTATATGTACATATATAGAGTATGTATATAAATGTTATAAATTATAACTATGTTTACTTAGGTCCCGCTCTTTCCGCCCGCCCCGTCCTGTTGGGGCTCGTTTTGATTAAATTTGAATTTCTAAATGCGACCGTTAAAGTAAGTGCAAACAAAACGAAATCCGCCAATCATAACCTCAAAAACCGTAAGCACAGCGAGTCGATCAACGCTGCAAACATAACCTCAATTCGCGTACAGACGATTGAACGGGAATTTAAAAATGCGCTTACCGTTTTAACTGATGCTCGTCGCAGCTTATTCGTGGTTGCTTTCAATTGAACTTAATGGTTCCAACAGCTGTACGAGAGGAACTCTAAAAGGAATTATAAACATTAAATATAAGTCAACAGTTCGTAGAATCAAAAAAAAAAAAAACAAAAAAAACAAAAAAAAAACAAAATGCCGCACAGTGCTGCAGATACTGCAATTTACTTATGTTTTTCACGGTTATTAAACCCATTCACATACCCAAGCACTTGAAAAAAAATATTTGGCAATGTTTTTGTACGTGTGCCTGCACTTCGAAAAATCGGAAATTCGTTGAACTTCTAAAAACACAAAAACAAGCTCCACACGAAAGCTTGCATGCGAACGCGACAAAGACGACGAACAAACTAACTGTAAATACGGCATATGTAGGCAGAGACAGCAGCAGTGTGACCAGTCGATTCAAAGCGAGCTAATGCCAAAAGTAACGGTATTTTACACAAATACAAGAGGCGTTCTGAAACGAAAGTTTCGTTTTTCGTCCATCACGTATACGAGGACATACATAATTTCAACGAATTTCTCGATCTGTTAAGTTGCAAGTAATTAATTCAAAAATATAAAAAGCTCGTAAGCTCGTAAACTTAACTAGCCAAGTTTTGATAAACTCATTGTCTTCATGCCAAACTCACTGCTCCATCGTTGGCTCCCGTCAGCTATATCTATAGCTCTAAATTGATGTTCTTTCTATTAGAAATGAAACGATTTTCATACAATATCTGATTTTTCGACCAATAGTTTTTATGGAAACTGTTATTCTGGTCAACTTCAGTCTGTGTACTGGCTCCAGCCGTCAAGTTTCATAAGAATATCGTAGTATATCTTTTGTATACTCAGCTCGTCATTCGGATCAATAAATAGACTGAGGTGCTTGGGTTAAATTTTTCTAAGAAAATGTTAGTACAATGTAATTCAAAATCCGATTTGAAAAGAGTATATTTGTTGATTTTTCTTAAAAGATTTTGTGAATTCCAATCAGGCTTGCTAACGAGCATTGAAAGCATTTTCAAATCCCAGCAGTATTTGGGAACACCCCAAAAAATACTAGCATTCCATCTTGACTCCGAAAAATACGACATTGGCTAATGTGGTCACTCTTAAAACATAAAACAGTGTAATGTTAAAATACGTTTGTGATAACAGGCTGGCTAAATGTGGGCAACATTATCATGATACGAAATGTTGTGGTGGGCATGTCCGGAGGCGTGGATAGCGCTGTCAGCGCCCATCTGCTCAAGGAGCGAGGCTACAATGTGCTCGGCGTGTTTATGCGCAACTGGGACGAGCACGACGAATCCGGCCGCTGCAGCGGAGAGCAGGATTTAAAGGATGCGGAATTGGCTTGCCGGCACCTGCAAATCGAGCTACGCCAAGTGAACTATGTGAAGCAATACTGGACAGCGGTGTTTAGTCAGTTTCTAGATGACTACCAGCAGGGCCTGACGCCCAATCCGGACATATTGTGTAACAAGCATATAAAGTTCGATCTGTTCCATCGGCACGCCCTGCATACGCTGCAATATGATGCCGTCGCCACTGGCCATTATGCCCGCAACAGTCTGGGAGACTTTTTGGAGAATGGCTCCAGCCAGACACCAGAAGATGTACGCCTGCTCATACCTGCCGACACATTTAAGGATCAGACCTTCTTTCTAGCTGGCATACCACATGCAGCACTGCAGCGCACAATGTTCCCGCTGGGTGGACTGAGGAAGACAGAGGTTAAGCAGTTAGCGCGCCGTATCGGGCTGCATCGGTTGGCCGAAAAGCGGGAAAGCACCGGCATCTGCTTTGTGGGCAAGCGCGACTTCAAGGCCTTTATACAGGAGGTAATCCAATAGACGCACAAATATGGTCAACTAACATTGAATCGGAAATATCATTTTTGACAGTACATTAGCTCCAAACCGGGTCACTTTGTGGATGTCGATAGCGGAGCCGTAGTGGGCACACACGAGGGCATTCACCAGTGGACCGTGGGACAGCGCTGCCGGCTAAGCTCTCATTTGCAGCCGTATTTTGTGGCACGAAAAGATGCAGCCAGCAATATCATTTACGTGGCCGCTGGCCACGAACATCCCGCGCTGCACAGCACCCGCATTCACATCGGCGAACTCAACTGGCTGTGCAACCGGGCACGTCAGCAATTGGACTCAAAAGGCAGCCTGCGCTGCCGTTTTCGCTTTCAGCACACAAAGCCCCTGGTCGATTGCCAGCTGCGTCCCTTCGAAGTGCAGCTGGATGCACCACTTCGCGCCATCACACCAGGGCAGTATGCTGTCTTCTATGACGATACGGCTTGCTTGGGTGCTGCGCGCATTTTGCATGGAGAACCATTGCAATGCCTGGAGCAACAAATGGCCGTGGAGCGCTAGCAGTCAGTTATTTTGTTTTATAGTCTGATTTTAAATACGTCCTGTTCGTAATATATAAATCTACATGTCTACAAGAACTGAGATGCATATGGAGCAACAGTGTTCATTTGTTTAACGCATCTTCAACACTATAGGGAACTATATATTATAGTTCAATTTGTATAAAAGGCAGGATTAATTTAAATCTGAAATCATATATACTTTTGATCAGAACGACGAGCAGAGTTGATCTGGCCATATCCGTTTATATGAACCCGTCCAACTCAGAGAATTGAGGTAGAGGTTCCAACTAATCATTGTCTCCCAGCCAACTTGCAGCACGTCATATGCATCCAATATATTTTGGCGCTGACGACACTGTATCTTGAGTCGGGCAGTCTCGACTGGAGTATGTTTGCTTGGCTTAAAGAATCTTATTTGTTTGAGATATCGTTCTAAAAGGCAAAATAGTTTTATACCCCGTTTTTTTCACCAATTTTACGCACTTGCGCTTGGAAATTTATCAAAAGACCAAAAATATGGTTCTAAGGTAAACACATGTATTGTATATTTAAAGTCTGCTTTACACAATTTCAAATCGAATGCAACAAACGCATGACTTAATATATTTCTAAATATTCAATTCTAAGGTCCGTTTTACATAGTTTGAAGTCTTATGCTATATATATATATATTATTTTCTATTGGGAGTCCTAAGCGCGCTGGCAAAAAAAAAAGGCTATCTTACTAAAAACAATTGTGGTTTATAAATTAGATTATGTCAAATAAAATTGGCTGGATTAGCAAAGGTCGTTGCATGAATAAATTGTCTTAAAGGCTAAACTAGAGACTACATCTAAAAAAACACAGGGGAGCGCAATGAGCTTATGTGAGTAGCACGGTCAACGCATCTAGAAATCGGGTCAGGTCGCTCTGACGCAGCTGGACGATGGACGGCTCAAAGAAGTCTTGCAGCAGGCTGGTCTTGCTCTTCTGTGCCGCCTGGTCGAACGCCTTGCCAAAGAAGTTCTTTGGCGAGTCCTCGCGCACTGGCGCTATGCCCACCAGCAGGCACATACCCTGTGTCGCATCTAGCGGGCAGGTGGCAATGAGCGGTAGATCCGGTGCCTGGCGTACTCTCGTCGTTGCTACATGACCATGCAGCACGAATTTCGCGAGCAGCGCCAGCGCATATGGATAAGAGAAGAAGGCGTGCTCCTCCTGTAGCACATAATAGAAAAATGATCCAGTCGAATGTACCTGATGCGCTTCCAGACAGCTTTGCACCTGCCGAAAGATGGCCGCATGCAGCAGCTTGGCATTGTCGATGCCGACATTAAGTAGCTGCCTATGCTGGCGGGTCAGCGCATCCAACGCTTCCATGAAACAGTCCTCAGGTGTTTTATGCTTCTTAACCGACTGCAGTATTGCCAACAGAGCATAGACATAGTCGGCGGCAGCATAACGACTGCGATAGCCATAGCTGAGCGTGAAGGTGCCATAGACAATATCTGGTATGCCATACTTCTCGGCCAGCTGCTCCACCATAGAATAGAACTCTTTGCGCAAAACCAAATCCATGGCGCTGTATGTTTGGCGCGCATGCACCAGTGGCAGGCCCATTTCGACGAGCAGCTCATGTAGACGCTTCTCGCCCCTCAAGGTCCACAGCTTCAGCTGACAGGCAGAGTAGCGCGAGTAACTGACAATAAAATAGACAAATAAGCCGACCAATTGGAGATTCCTTGTCTTCACTTACCGCATTGACTCGGTTACGGTCCAGTGTCTGTATAGCACTAAGTGTAGATCGTTCTCAAAGCTGATCTTCGAGGCACTCATTGTGTTTTGATCATTAGTCTTGTTGGTCAGACGCGACACGTGCGACTGTATGTGCTCTAGCTCGAGTGTGTAGGCGCCGCTCTCGATCTTGCCCAGCAGCAGCTGTTCGCTGATGCCTACAATGGCCCACCAAAGCAGATCCATGTTGTCCTTGGACAGCTTCCAGGCTAGCTCGAAGATGTACAAAGCCGTTGATCGGCCATAATAGCTGAATTGTGTGTAGTCGAACATGATGCGATCCCGTTCCGATTCCCATTGTCGTCTTGCCCTCTGACGCATCACCCGCTGCTCGTGCCGCTGCATTCGGCTGAGCTTGGGCGCGCGCTCCCTCTCGACGCCGTCGCCATCAGCTTGACCGTCATCAGAATCGCCGGCACCGCTGTCTCCATCGTCCCCATCTTCATCGTCGTCCCCATCCTCGCCATCCGAGTCATAGAATATAGTTTCAAATGCTGGTATGTTCTCCTCTAGGGCTGGATCGCCTAAAATGCAAACCTGCCGATCGCTGTAAACATTGCAGACGTCCAGCGGCCGATGGGAATCGCATATGTAAAATGTGACATCCTCCGCCGGCTGCAGTAGCTCCACAATGTCCACACATCCGCCGCAATTGATCAGCAGCACATATTTAACATCGCCCTGGTGCTCCGAATAGGCACGTCGCAATCCAGTCACGCCCATAATGGGCACCACAGTGTACAGCATGTGATCGTACTTAAAGAGCGACTGCAGAATTTTGCTGGCGCAGATCGCGTCGACGTCATAGTTGACTATGATCAAAATCCGTTTGCCAATTAGTTGTCTGTAAAAGTCATTCTTTAGGTCCTGTATGAACATTTTCGCCGCACGCACAGTTAATTCCGCTGCGTGAAGAGTAACAAATCGGTACAAAGACACACAAAACAATATTGTAAATACAAGTAAGTGTTATATAGGTCAGGTTGCGACACTTCCGGCCTTTTAGCGTCAATTTACTTAATTAATGCAATTGTTGCTGTTGCGGCACTTAAATGGCCCTAGTTGCGCGTTGCATTTTGTTGTATTCGCTTTTGTTTGCACTTTCTAACAGGGCTCTCCGCTCTTTGTGGCCTGCATGCTCCACAGCTGCGGGATCGAATTAAGGCGGGAAATGGCCAGCTGTTCGGCGTGGCCGTGTGGCACAGTGAATGGCAATTGCTCAGTGCTGCCCCAAACCCGATTGCTACATGTGGCTAGTATAAATGTACCGAAATTGGAACATTACTTAGCATTGGTACATTTATTCATTAAAATCTCTTACTTAATTGTACCGAATATGGAAAACATTAAGTAATTGAGTAAAATGCAAAAAAAATATTGACCAACAAATCATGGTACTTTGTCAGCGAATATTAACCTAAACCTACAATCTATAGTTTTTGGTACAAATTATATATTTAAAAGTGATGATAGAACCTATCATTTTAACTATCGATTACACCATGCATATCGAAATTGAAAGCGATTGTTAGTTCGAATATGAAATACCGACTACATGTGTCTACATGTGTCTTACGCTTATTGCTAAATATTCAGCTAACGTATTTGAAACGCGTTTTATATACGAAAACAAGTTTCAATCATGGGAAATAATAAGGGCAAGCGCAAAGCGCTCACACAGCGTCAAGTTAGCTCCAGAATGAACTTCCTTTATCAGGCGTCAAACTTGATGGCGCACAGCAACAACAACACGCTCGCCGCCTACTACGGCAAGCTCTGTCGCAACGTGGGCACAAAGGCGCTGATGCACATGTGAGCTCTGAGTTGGTTCTGTGTTCTTTATTATAGCTAATTGTTGTCAATGCTTGAGGTAGGTCGCCAGCGCTGAAGCGCACACTGTGCAAACGCTGCTCCTTGCCGCTGCTGCCGGGCGTTAATACGTCGCTTAAGCTGGACCAGAAGCATGAACAGCAGCAGGTGATTACCGCGGCAGCAGCCACTGCGACGGCAACAAGCACAACCAGCAAACGCCGCCATCGCCGTTTGCGTAGCAAGCGGAGCAAGGGCCACAATCAGACTGCCGCCGCTGTCCAAAAAGATGCCGCACCCAGTGCCAGCATGGACGAACACGCTCGCCTACACTTGGAGTGTGCTTTGTGCGGGTCGAAACGTCGCTTCCAAGTCGACACACAAAACGAGTGCTGGCCAGAGCGCTCTGAGGCGATTGTGCAGGTGATAAGACTGGACGGACAAAGAAACGCAGACGAGGCTGAAGGAGGCGGAGAAGCAGCAGGAGGAGAAGGAGGAGGAACAGCACGAGAGCAGTGATAAGCGTACTTGGATGGCAATGACTTATCGCACGTGTAGTTGGTTACACTTGTTGATAAGCGAAATTAATTATCGGCCATCGACTGTTCCCCGTTCACAGTTCAGTATTTGAACATATGCTGAGCTGTAAACACATGATTGGCCAGCTGCTGGGCCGGCAGCTTAAGCGCCACGCCAGCCACGGCGTTACGGCCAGACTGTTGGAGCAGCGTTACGTGGAGCTAATTCAGCCAGACGGACGGCAACTCAAGTACCCGAGTATCTGGCTGCGTGACAATTGCCAGTGCTCGGAGTGTTTCCATGCGGCGACTCGAGCACGCAAGAGCCACTGGGAACGCGGCCCGCTGCACGTACAAGCGGAGCGCGTCAGCTACGATGAGCAGCGTCAGCAGCTCATTGTCAACTGGCAGGATGCTCACAACTCTATCTATGACCTCGACTGGCTGCAGCAGCGCGACTTCAGCGCGGAGGCCAGGCAACGATATCTGGACGAGGTTTACAAACAACCGGCTCAGCTTTGGGGCAAGCCGCAGTTTGGTGCAGTAACTCGCGAATTCGCCTACAAGGATGTGCTCCAGAAGGACTCAGTTCTGCGCGCCTGGCTCGAGGCGCTGGCCGTGCATGGCTTTGCGCTTCTGCGTGAGGCTCCCCACGATACCCAGGTCGTGCGCCATCTGGCCGAACGCATTGGGTACATCAAGCAGACCACCTACGGGTAAATTCGAATCAGATATCCTTTGAACGCACAATATGTAATCGGTTTTTATTCTGGAGCAGGGATGTGTTTGAGGTCAAGTCGAAGCCCAATGCTGGAAACTATGCCTACCTGATGACGCCGCTGCCGCTGCACACAGACATGCCCTACTATGAGTACAAGGCGGGCATCAACATTTTGCATACGCTGGTGCAATCGGAGTCGCCGGGAGGCGCCAACACGATGACCGATGGCTTCTTTATAGCCGATAAGATGCGTCGAGAGCATCCGGAATATTACGAACTATTGCGCACCATACCTGTTAACTGGTATGACATTGGACACGATGGAGACGCCGGCAAACCGTTCCACAGTCTGTGGCGTGGCCCTGTCATTTGCCTGGACATTGATGGGCACTTTGCACGCATCAATCAGAACACCACCAAACGTGACAGTCGCTTTACAGTGCCCTTAGAGCAGGCATTAGCCTGGTATGAGGCGTACGATAAGTTCCTTGAGCTGGCCCAGGCCGAAGCTGTGGAGTTCAAGACGCGCCCTGGTGATGTGTTTGTGTTTAATAATCTTCGAATGCTGCACGGACGTACCGCATACGAGGATTCGGCGCAAAATAAGCGGCATCTCATAGGAGCCTACGTTGACTGGGATACTATTTACTCCAAGATACGCACCCTAAAGTTTCCGAATGTAAAGTGTTAGCCCATCCGTGTGCATTGAAAGTGACATAGATATTGCTTACAATGTTAAATACTTGATTATAAAAAAATTATTACAATTTAACTATATTTTTTATATTTGAAGGCAACCGCCAAAAAATGACCGGCAAACTCGATTTTGTTATCGACATCGATTAATTGTGGCCGTTTTGCTCGCGTGATCAGCATACTAGCCATATATCGGCAGAGGTACGAAATGAAAGTATCGATACGCTTGATACATCGATACGTTTCTATTCAACCCTAGTCTGGTCTTTGCACATGCATATCAACATCAACAAGAAAAACGCATTTGGTAGCTGAAAATGCGAACTGATTGCAATATATAAAAGTGCTTAAATCTAACGTAGTTTGTGTGTGTGTGTATGTGTATTAATGCGCATTGCGAATAAATAAATGATGCCCTACAATATGCGTGCCTGCGGCAGCAACGCCATGGTACGTGAGTACGCTGGCGGCAGCCTCAACGGCATTTTGCGCAAAACAGGAGCCTCCGCAGGAGGCGCAGCAACAGCTTCCGGCGTGGGCGCCAATGGGTTAGCGTATGGCGCTGCATCAACGGATCCGCGACAGCCGCCACTGGAGCTGCTCGTTTTTGGCTATGCGTGCAAAATATTCCGTGACGATGAGAAGGCGCGCGAGATGGATCATGGCAAACAGCTGATACCCTGGATGGGCGATGTAAATCTCAAAATAGACAGGTTAATAATTGTTGCCTGCCACCGGCACTAAACTTAATTATACTATAATACGCTATACCCACATACATAATGTACTTGTATGTGTATACACATATGTATGTAACACCTTGGATCCCATATGTTTATGTGCCAAAAGAAGAAAACCGTACAACTGGTACCTTTGCCAGTGCCATAACTATCATATTTATCCTAGAATACAGTTATGTTTGAGGAAACCAAGCTACAACCCGAACTGAACGAGACCCGAACTGAACTAAGCTAAACTTAAACATAAAGTCCCTACTGGAAACTCGAGTATAGTCAAAACCATATTGAAAGTTGTCCAGTATTTCATTAGGTCCTATGCTACGAGCACAAGTTAACTGACTTATGGACTGACCGGGCGGTAAGGGGGCAGCGAAACAGACCCAACAGAGGTTGACTCTGCAACTGTAAAAGCTATCGTTTTCTCATTGTAATAACAGCTCTTTTCAGTGCTTCGCAAACTGTAATATATTTTTAAAAACAATTTTAAACTGTAATCGTAAAACAATTAACTTTTTTTTAGCAACCGGAGCGGTATGTATGAATGATTAAGACATAATAATTGATATATTCATATGCAAATATATATATATATTTAAACATATATACATAATTATAGACATTTAATTTAACAAAAATCGAATTTATTTAACAACTGTGTGAAGCTATTTGATCGAGATGCATATATTTCTTTTTGGTTTTAATAGATCGAAAGATCTATTTTAATTTGATTTGATTTGTGTGTGTGCGTGCGTGCGTGTGTGCGTGACTGTGTGTGCGTGTGTGTGTGTGTGTGTGTGAGTGTGTGTTTGTGTGCGTGGCTCTCACAAGCAGCATCTCAATGTATTGATTTTGTTAACTAACAACGTTCTCTTTCCCGTTTATATTTCTCTTATTCTTTTCTTTGGAACACACACACACACACGCCCAAACACCCACCCACTCCCACCCACACACACACACGTATTTATACAGATATGACGTGCGTGGAGCGCTGTGCGAACTTTCTACCTATGAGGCACCACCTGGTGGCTATGGAAATCGTCTTGAATATCTCAGCACCGAGGAGCAGCGGGCGGAGCAGCTGTGCGAAGAGGAGCGCTATCTGTTCCTATACAACAACGAAGAAGAGCTACGGCTGCAGCAAGGTAAGTGCAGTTGCCGGCCTGCCGTATGCACCGCCTACTCAATGCGAATTGTATGTACTACTATTTAAATTCTAAGTGCCAAGAAATACCGATTTCATAACGAAAAATCAAGCTCAAATTGAACAAAAACAAATATATATATCAAGACCAAAATTCAAGACAAAATATTAACGAGAACAGAAACAAGAACAAGCACAAGAAACAAGCACAAATAGAAGCGTAGAAATCAAGTCAAATGCAAGTAGCAGCAAAACAAAAAAATAAAAAAATAAGATCAAAAACCAACCAAAAGCCAAACCAACAACAGCAGCAACAACAACAATGATAATGAACGTAAGTTTCATCCAATGCCTTGTGGTGGGTGCCGCCGTGGTTCAGGTAAATAACAACCACTTGACATTTAACAAATTCAACAATTTTTTGCAGATGCTGCTGCTGCGGCACTTTGGGGAGTCCTTGCTCTCTGTAACTCTCCCTAATAATCACTCGAAGACTGCACATAGAACTGAGCTCCAGCGAAAGCTAAAAATGAAAAAAAAAAAAGCAGAAATTGAAATTGAAGCTTTTAACAAATCAAAACCCAATGTCAAGAATATTTATTCTACGATTTTTTATGTGTATTCCTTTTGTGTGCCGTGCGGCATTTGTTGCTGTTGTTTTTTGTACTAAAGTCGCGCCGTTTGTCTTGTTTTCTTATTTTTGCCAACACTACATACGCACATACTTTCACACACCTACACCCATACACACACACGCTCACACGCACACGCACACGCACATATATAAACGTACAGAGGAGGATCTGAAGCGTCTGCAGCAGGAGACATCCGGTGGCAACTATAGCCAAGTAGATTTCCATTACGATGGCCAATCAACATGTGGTTCATCTGGTGCAGATGCTGCCACCTCACCAACGTCAGAGTCATCGACGCTGGCCGAGGAATCCGAGCTACCCTACACACTGCCACCCAGTCTTCTCGTGGCGCCCGCTCCAGGCATGCAGTTGGTAAGGAGGCATTTGCAATTGCCAAAATATAATATCAAAAGCGAATGCCAATTGCCGCATTTCATCATCTTGTAGCCGGAGACAATGAAGCAGCATGCAATTATTGAGAAGACGGCACGTTTCATTGCCACCCAGGGCGCCCAGATGGAGATCCTGATCAAAGCCAAGCAAGCCAACAATGCACAGTTTGATTTTCTGTCGCAGGGCGGCCAGTTGCAACCATATTATCGTCATCTTCTTTCCGCCATCAAGCAGGGAAAATTTGCGGCATCAGTGCCGGCGGCGACAACGGACAATTCTAATGTGACGGGCGAAAACAGCGCGTCTTCAAACAGTCCGAAGCGTAGCCAGCAGATCATAACGGTGCCCACCATCAAGTACAAACCGTCGGCCAATTGCGCCTACACGCAGCTCATCAGCAAAATCAAAGGTGTTCCGCTGCAGACAGTATTGGACGATGAGAACGCTTCACAGCATTCCGCCGGAACCGCCTCGCCCACGCCCAGCTGCAAGTCCGAGGGCCAGAGTCAAAGCAGCATTGCCGCCCCAGCATCCAACGGCGAGTTTACGCCCGTTCTGTTGCAGTACAATGGCAGCACATTTGCCCACGAGGCGGAGGAGGACAACGCCAACGATGCGCTGCCTAAGGTTGAGCTATTAAAAAACACCAGTGCTCTGGCGCTTGCCCAAAATTATAGCTCCGATAGCGACGACGAGCAGGACGCGGACGATGACAACAGTCAACAACGGACTCAAGAAGCCACGCAATCAGGCGCCGCCACTGGCGCTCTGACCACCGCCACGAAAAAACCCACTGCGGTGCTAGCACCACCACCGCTTTTAACTTTTCCTCTACCCGAGGAGACGCTGCGCCACATCATCGACAAGACGGCCACGTATGTAATTAAGAACGGTCGCCAGTTTGAGGAGACGCTGCGCACCAAAAGCGTCGAACGTTTCAATTTTTTGCTGCCGGACCACAAATTCTATGCGTATTACATGTACAAAATAACCGGCGATGTGGACGCCGCTTCTAAGGAGGAGAAGACGCGCAAAGCGGCTGCCGTTGCCGCTGCACTGATAAGCAAAAAAGGTCTTGGTGGCGCTAATGCAACTGCTGGAGCTGGTGCTACTACAGCCTCGACAGCTGCTGGTACCAGAGCGACTGAAAAGGGTGCGTTCAGCCAGCTCGCTCTGTAGAAATCCCTGACCTCATTTCCAAAATCTATTGCAGCGCACGTGTGCTTCGCCATACGCGCACGCGATGAGAACGCGACGTTGCACCCAGCACTGCCACAGGAGGCAAGCGATGATGATGAGCTGAAGGCAAAATCAAGTGCAGAGCAAGCGCGCCCTGGCATGCCAGACAGCGTGCAACGCGCCATCAAGCAAGTAGAGACGCAGCTGCTGGCTAGAACTGGCGCCCCAAAAGCCACTTCGGCAACGACAGCGACTTCCCCACTCAAAGAGCAACGACAGGGTGCGTATCGATTAGAGAGAGAGAGAGAGAGTGCCAGAAGGAAAGCGACGGCTATAGAGCAACACATCTTTTCTAACTTGTGACTTTCTTCCCTCCGCTTTAGCCGAGGAGCGTGTCAAGGACAAACTGGCACAGATCGCACGTGATAAGCTAAATGGTATAATGTCGCGCGAGAAGCAATTGCAGCTGGAGCGCAAGCGCAAGGCCATGGCCTTTCTCAATCAAATCAAATGTAAGTTTTCGCCTAAAGTGTTTGCACTCAACAAAAAAAAAAAAAGAATTCTTTCTGCTTAAACTAAGCACTAAGCAAAAGATGTTTAAAAGCAGCCAAGTTCGAAATTTTATCAGCTGAAACGAAATGCCTAAGAATTTTGATCCGTTCCCTTTTTATGTAGCTAGCAAGTTTTTGTAAAAAGTATTTCTTACTATACCTATATACTTCACAAAATGTTTAGTTGTGAAAAAGCCCGTTTCGTACTTAGTTTAAGAATATTCAAGAATGATCTTGAAATTCAAAGACTCGTTCATATTGGAATTTAGATAGGCGTTTTTTTCTATTCAATTTTCCATTCCCATTTGCAAAGCTTAGGCTCGTCTTCAAACGAAATAATCAATGCATGTCTTACTGATATTGGACCTCAATTCCGTGATCGGAAAATGGGCGGAAAATTATGGAATTGAAAGGGCTGCGAACATATTTTCAAAGATCTTGAAGTCATTTGCAAGGAATATTTCGTTCCGATCTGCTTCAACGGCAGAAAATATCTAGGAAAAGGTATATTTTGGATTTGGAGTGTAACACACAGTCGAGAAAAGCCGTGTAAAATCTGTTTATAACATTACATACTGAACAATATATTGTCTATTGGACTTAAGGTGAAGGTACGGCTATTGGCACAATTACTGGATCGGATACGATAACCACAGAAACAGCTGCTGGGAATGCAGATTCGGTAGCGGAGGCAGCTGACATCAATGGTGACTCGAATGATTCGGTGCGCTCCATACCCATCACTTACTTTGGACCTGATGATGATGAGGATGACGATGATGACGACGACGACGAAGAGGACAATGATGTGGGCGTGCGGACGGCATCAGCTCCACCGCCGCTCAGAACGGCTAATGCAGAGGATGATGAGGATGATGACGGAGATCTGGAAAAGTACAATTTACTTAACGATGATAGTACCAATACATTTACCAGCAAGGTGGCAGCGGCAGCAGCAGCAGCGCCCGTCCTGCTCTCCGATGACGACGATGTGCAGTTGGTATCCACCGCTGCCGCACCACAGTCAGTGTCGTCAGCTTCATCAGCTGTGCGTCATCGTAAGACTGGCCGTCGAAGTCGCAGTCACAGCAGCAGCAGCTGCTGCTCCATAGCGCAAGATGCTTCCGTGACCTCATCCAACAGTAGTCCTAGTTGCCGACGCAGTCGTAGTCGGAGTCGCAGTGCCCATCGGCAGCGCCGCAAGCGCAAATCCAGTGCCATTGCCAAACATAGACGCCGCCGTCGCAGTCGCAGTACATCGCGCAGTTCGCGTCACAAGCAGCGCAGTCGCAGTCGTAGCAGCAGCCATTCTAGCTTACGCCGCCATCGCGAGCATCACCGGGATAAGGAGGAGTCCTTGTCGCGCAGAAGAAATCACCAGCGCCAGCCGAGCAAAAAGAGTCACAAGCGCCACAAGCGACGTCGACGCAGCAGCGGAGGATCCGCCTCGCAATGAACCGTGTCTTTGCATCTAAAGCATTTTAGATTTTAGGTTTAAGAATTGTACATTTCCTTCTTTTTTTTTAATGTTGAGCAATGTTTCGCATGCGATGCATTGAGTATGGTCGTCAGTAATAAAATTTAGGTGTACAAATATTTACAAGCTGTTCATCATATCAAGGTTGTTAACGAACCAGATAGATATAAGAGAAGAGAGAACTCGTTGGAATTGTAATTGTATTATATTATATTATATTATAATCATGAATACAAATGTCTAACGTATAGTATGTAGAGCTCCAAGCCGAACCTGATTTCATGCAAACCGAACCCAAATCGAAGCATATATTTTTCGGAAACGATTTAGTTTTTAAAATAGGATACTTTTGAGGAGAAGGAGCCACAAAGCATAATCCACATCAACTCCAACCCTTGGATTTATCCAATCATATTTTTTAGATGCCCATTTAAGCTAGAGATCAAATTTGGCAATTGAATTGATTCAGGGATGTGTAACACCGATCAACCGACTACATATTATGTGCTTGATAAACGCAAAGAGCTTAGTCTCTGAAACCACTCGAATGAAACTGAGCTGAGCAAACAAAATATGTATTCCAGTTCTAGGTATTTTCGTTTCCACCGACACACAAGTCTGTACAATAAATGGCACGTTGCCGTTTCTTGGAGGCTAACACAGCGGGGGAATAGGCGGCTCCACAAGAGCTCATCTTGTGGATTGGATTTTATTACATTTTATTTCTTTTATTTGCAGTAAACACTTTTTCTTTGGTAAATTTCCGAATTTTAGTATTTATTAATGGACTCTCCAGGCCATAAGAATATTTGAACTAATCGATTTTTCTAGTGTCGAGAAATAACGATTTCTCAAAATAACAAAACAAAAAAAGGGACAAATTGTATATTAGCTACCAAGTCGTGTAGCCTAGAAGTATTATATTTATTATATGCAAAATTTATATATATAAGTTTGGTTTCAAAGAAGTTTTTAGCATACAGTTGCTTTCTTATGGGCGCAGTGGGAAACAGCTATCTATATATATAGATCAATATAAGTTAGTAAATAATAAATATAGGTTTATGGTTAGTATATATATGTGCGTATATGCTTATATGATTGGATGCATTCTAAACTAGACTCTGTCTAGAATTCCAAGACGCCAGGCAAATATTTGTCGATAAGCGTTTGATAGTATGGCCATAGAGCATCAATATCAGGCACCACCTCGCTCTTTGTGTATAGATCGTAGCGGCTGTAATGAGAGTTATTGTTATAGATATATGTTTATAGATGTGGGTTTAACATTTCAGCTCACTTGAATATGAGTACCCATTTCTTGGTCTCAGCATCCTTAGGCGCCTCCAGGTGCTTGTAGTCGCCGCCATTATGCCAGGGATAGAACGAATGGAAGCGTATTATATTGCAGGCCACCTCGGGCAACTTGGTATTGTTGTGCTTCAGCACTGCGAACATGTACTCGTCGTGACCCCAGGACATGAGCAGATTGTCGATGCCACAGTGTGGCTTATATATGCCGTATTTGGTATTGTATTTGGGATTATCCCCGTCGGGATTACCCACAAAGCTCTCGTCACGATAAACTATGCTATCGCCCCAGCGACAGCCCACGGCAAAAGTATCGCCCACAACGGCCCATTGCGGCTCATCATAGAAGGCCATAATCTTGCCGAGATCGTGTATGAGGGCTATCAGATGTAGCCAATCATCCTCTGGAAATTCGGCGCGTGCACGCTCAGCTGCCTGGAAGGCGTGTATAATGTTGGGCAAATCCAGATCGGGATCGGACTCATCAATTAAATCGTTGAGTTTTTCCAACGCCTCGCGCACCGTCATCTTAATCGTGTCGAACTTTAGCCAGCGTTCGCGGCGACCTGTGAACGGAAGCGATTATTAAATATATGTGTATATGCAATTTGGCTAAGGATAGTTCTTACCGTTGACAAAGTCCACAGTTTGATTTAGGTGCATCTGGCGATAAGTGCGACGCACGCGTTCCTTTAGCGGATCCTCCACATCAACGCTGTAGTCACGAAACTTGGAAGGACTTTTATCGGCAAATGAGGGCTCCGGACGCAACAGCTCTGAAGGATCCATCAAATGGATTTGGTGCTACACAAATTATAAAAAAAAAAACACATTGTTTAAAAAAAAGTCACTTCGGTTTTTCAATTATATTCTCACCTCCTGTAAGATTCTCATGTTGCGAGATTTGAATTATAACAAGTATGGAAAAAGAAATATATTGAAATTCGAATTGTTCGCCTTAACTACTGCACGGTTGGTCGGACAAGATGCTATTGAATCGCGAGCTTCTCCGGGCGCTCACTTTTATAGATCGCCGAGCAATATCACATCTAGGCTACATATAGTATTCATGTAGTATTATATTTTGATTTATAGCACTTTTGTTGTTTTATACACAGCATATAGCCACCTAATCAGTTATCAATGTGGGACCCCACTCAAGTCATTGCTCATATAGATGTAGGAAATGCGTCCGATTCGGGCCCACACAACGGTTCGGCTACATAAAATCTCGTAAGTGCTTTATCTAAGGGCTACATCCGCGCCTCGGGAATCAAGGCGTTGCCTACACGCACGTGCTAGCCTCTGCCTATCTCTTTACATATTATATATTTATATCATTGTATATTTTTTTTATATATATATATATTCTAAGTACATATGCAACTAAAGGCTGCACTTGACCGATAAGGCCAGAGCATAGTGCTTTTAACTGGAGCAAGTGCAAGTCCATCGATTGCAACGTATGACTTGATCGGATCGAGTTTATAAGGCGGGCATCTTTAAGATGCTCTCAAATTTGTTGTTTTTTGTTGTCTTCGTAGGATTCGTTAGCAATTTGCACAAACAATAAAAACAAACAATTAGTTGCACACTTATAGAATCAATCAAGGAATATTTACGTAAACACTTAGATACTTACATCATTTATACTAGAAATATTAATGTGTGTTTTTTTTATTTATTTACTTTTTATTTGCTTGTTTCCTTGTTTATGAGTCTTTAAATTGCGTCAAATTCTATAACGAACTAACGCACTGGGGTTGGAATACTATATATATACTATGAGTTCGGAATTGCATAAGCCTTGACCGATTGGCATTACTTAGCTCAAGGTCGTCCTAAACGTGAGGCCCGCCTTACTGTAATCACAACTTTGATCTTAAGAATAGTAATTTAATTTCATATATATTTATTCATATATTGTGCTATGTGTGGGGGTCTGTCTCTAGTCTTATATCCTGAAGCAATGAGAAATGGATAATAATAGTTAATAGACATAAGGATGCTGCGCTCATCCCAATGAGTATATACATTGTTTATCGGAACGAAGACCTTACGACCGACTTACTTAAGTCCGCTTGTCCGTTTGTATTGACGCATCGATCTTGAAAACTACAAGGCAAGGACTTAATATTTAAAATATATCTCAATTTATTACCACATTTTTAAAATATTGATTTTGAGACACCATTTTTTAAGACCTTTTATAAGACCTTAATAGACAAAATATCCCCCTCGTATACTATGCACCGATTATAACACTTTTTTAGTATTTTCCCCCATTTCTAATAAAACCTTCAAAAAATTGTATATTTTAAGGTGAAAGCAGGCGTTTTTGTGTATCTACAAACTGAACATTTTAAAAGGATCGGACTTTAAATACCGATGCTAAATATGCAAAACTGCATTTTTAACAGTGTGTTGCTGGAAGAAGAACAACAGAGTGGGTAAGTCTGTCTTTTTGTGTATATAAATAAATAGGAATTAGGTCAGTGTATCTGATAGTCGGGCATTTTATGCTGGCAGTAGCCTATTTTATATTTATCTGCTTGCGAGCCGTTGGGTGGGTGATGGGTCACGTAAGCACAAAGTAGTATAATTAAGCTACGATTACTAAATTTCTATAAGTAGAATTCTTGAAGAATTGGAATATATAGTATGTATGTTTGATGCGCTGTTTTGAATACGCCTGCGTCTATTTTGTTGGAAAGCTATGCTATGGTCTTCGATAGCGTTTGGCGTCACCTTGAACAAATCTGACGCAAGGGCAAGCGCTCCGGATTCCTGCGTACAGGCGTACACACGTACCTCCAAAATCGCAATAATCTAAGTACATCGTCATCAAGCGCTGAATTAATGTGCCATCAAGGGGGGGATCGCCTCGAGAAAAGTTATCAGTCGGCGCGGCAGCATCGGCTCATACATGACGTCGGTCCCCTTCTCCGTCGCCGGACTCTGACGCCTTCGGGCATCGCACACGTTGCCACTGAGCACTGGGAATGCATTGCGCGATTGCGCCCACGAAGGGGCGGGCTGATCGAGCCGGCAGCAGGCGATATTTGGATGGTTGTTAGGCCAAGGGGCTTGCTTCTCTGCGACGCAGTACCGGTACTAGCGACGTTGTCATAATCATAAAAAAAGGTCAATTTGTAATGATCGAGTGCAGGGTGGCAATAAATCTTATCAGTTAATAGGCACGTGCCCCCAGTCCATTACATTACACTATGCCACAGAATGAGGAAAATCTATTAAATCTAATCTTCATTCATTTCATTTATTTTATTTTTGACATTTTTATAACAACATAAATTAATTTTGCTACATTGAGTAAATATCTTTATTAATTATATAGAATATTCATTTAAATCAAAATTGTCAACATTTTGGGATCTCCCAATTTATGACTATATAGATTGTGGCATAGTAACCAGTCCATTTTCAAGTGTTTTGTTGCATAGTGCTGGAGCAAACGATGCGAAGTGTTCACGAGAATTTTTATATTTGGGGTGTCAAAGTCAATGGAAATGTTTTATAATATTTATGTATATATGATGTTGTTGTCAGTTAATAGAAGGCAATGTCAGTGAAAACGGCTCTGGATGCGAATTCTAATAGCAAATGGAAAATGCCCAAGTACGGGCAATTAATACAAACGGCCGTCTGAATAATAGTATACTAATATGATTTTCCATTATAGAACTTTGCAATTAGTAGACTTTCTAGATGAAAATGATGACACATATAGTGTGTTTATATGCAAAGTCTAAACAATTTCTCTATTGCTATACATTAAGTGCAATCCTCGGTAGATATGTTATCTAAATGACCCACTCATTTAGGCAACTGAGCAACGGGGATCCGGGTTCGAATCCCAAGCTAGTTTGTTGATGCTACATTGCCCTAGTCCAAGGCCATAATTGATCATGATATTTAAGAACGTAGGTGGAGTTTATTACTATAGTTTATAGCTATATATAACAAACTAACTAAATATATATATATATATATATATATATATATATAATAATAAAATTAATAATGATAAAAAATAAAAAAATAAAAGGAATAATAAAAAATAAAAATGATAAAAGGAATAATAAAAATAATAATAAAAATAAAAATTATAAAAATAAAAAAACAATAATAAGGATAATAGTAAAATATAAACATTAATACCAAAAATAATTATTAAATGAATAACAACAAATTTCAAGTGTTTCGAGGCCAATTTGGTGCCATAACCATATCAATCACTTTAATGAATACGGCCAGCTAATTAAATGATCATAAATATATTGCGCTGATATAAACGCGAGATCACACGTAAGGTTCATAGGTCAGGCTTGACAGGTTACTCGCGTTTGGACTTGGTCGCAAATGCGCAAACAAATAAGCGACAAATAAACCACAATCATGTTGTTGATGCAGCTTCAATTGTTAATCGGTTTGCCAGCAGTTGGAGAAAGACAGTCTACGCCGAAGAAGCACAGTGTGTCCTGGCTTGGATGACTTTCCATAAGCTGAACACAGCATACAAGTCTGAGTTGGTTGGGGGTCTACAAGCTCACGAAATACGCTAAAAACTTGTTGTTTCGTTTTTGATTTCATGTCGGAGCTTTGGTGTGTCATAGGGTCGCTTCACTGTGCTAACCAAGGCTCAATCTCATATATAATTATCAATAAATCATATTCGTCTGCTCGCATTGCGTCGGCCGCTGGTCGAACTCTTCGACTTTGTGTATTTATGTATAATGTATTTTTAATTTTTGATATTTTCTTAATAGATTTTTGCACATGTTTGCAATAATTCATGCCTTGGTCAAGTCTGACAGCTGGGGTCTCTGACTGGTCGCTGATAGTTGAATGCAATCGAAAGTTAGATCACAATTGTGCCATTTCATTGTCTGTGTGCTAAAGATTAATATATTTCCGTTGTATAACAGCTGTATAGCAGTCGTATAACAGTCGTTCAATTATATTTTCGGATTTAGATGAGAGCTAAATAGCTTACTGTACTTTCGCTGCATAAAAGTATGCGATTTTGACTTCTTTTAAAGAAATTTTACAACTGGCATGACATATAAAAATAATAATAATAATACCTTCAATTAAGGAACTTTAAGAAGAGATTGATGTATAATACAAATCGCGTCTAGCTAGTATATAACAAATATTAAAAATTACAAAGAATGTTAAAAATTAAGGAAAGCTCCCGACTAGAACCTCTTACTTGTTATACCCTGAACCCATTAAAAATGGGTATAAGGGTATATTGTATTTTTGCAAAATCCAAATGTATCTAACAGGCAGAAGGCAGCATCTCCGACCCCATAAAGTATATATATTCTTGATCATCATCAATAGCCGAGTCGATCTAGCCATGTCCGTCTGTCTGTCCGTCCGTCTGTCCGTCCGTATGTATGAACGCAAGGATCTCAGAACCTATAAGAGCTGGAGAAATTTTAGATGTAGGTGCTCCTAGTGCCTGCGCAGATCGAGTTTGTTTCCGATAATCGATAACTTACTTCGTTTACAAGCAATCGATAAAAATCGATATCGATATCCTGTTTTTTGGGCAATTTCGGCAAATAATTAGAGCTAGAGTCACCAATCTTGACATATAGCTTCTAAAATATAATATATATGTTCATTTTATGTTGGAAAAAGAGGGTTCAGGGTATCCCCTAGTCGGGAGCTCCCGACTAGAACCTCTTACTTGTTTTTTTTGTGTTAGTGATCCTATGAAACATTAGCAGGACGATTGGAACAGTTAGGCTCTGTAAAACAACTCTATATTATTTTTCACTGTCTAAAAAAATATTATTATGTGCGCATACCTTCTACTCTTTTCCCTATCCTCCGCTTTATTATAAGCTGTTTAAATGAGGAGATATATGTGCGATGCAACCTTGCAAAAGCTCGACTTGCATCGAGCACATTATCTAACGCTTTATTTGGTGCATTCGAGATAAGATACAAACGCAAGCTTTTGCCCGTTACAACACAGCCGACACTTTCGTCGTAAACGATATGTGGTAGAACTGTGTTTCTTTTCTTGGTTGGTCTCAAGTTGCGCACAAGTTTCGTATAACAGCTTTAAGCAACATTTTGTTTTGTGCCAAATTCAAGATATAAGCCCAAAAAAAAAAAAAAAACAAAAATCATACGAATGTTCACATTGAATATGCATAAAATTTAATCAGTGGCTTCGTTTAAACATTACAAATAGGCAAATGCAAGTGTAGGTGTATGTGTGTGTGTATTCTAAATTAAAGTTGACGCAAAGTGCATAAATAAATAAATAAAATGCAAATAACTAATGCTAGGATGATCAGTACAGGGTGTCTCCGATTAAAAGACCTAAAACATGAAACTAAAACTAGATTTTCAGCGCTCTATGCTAAATGCTAATATCAATAGAAAAACGGCAAGTGGGTGGGAAGGGGGCGAGCTGGGTGCTTGGTATCTGTCTAGACAAGCCGAGCGGCTGAGCATGTGGCTGCTGATGTGGCATTCTGCGCCTCCGATTCAGCAGCACCGATGCCAACCACCAGGCTGACGGCGCCCGCGGTGGCCAGCACCCGCTTGTAGTTGCTGCTGCATTGCGAGTCGGCCACGGATCGTCCGTCGCCCTCGTCGCGGCGACACAGCTCGGCGGCGAAGGGTACACTGGGGACCACAGTCTCCAGGCGGCGCTCCAGTATATCCGCGGTGGTCAGCTCGCTGGCCTGGACCAGGCTGCTGGCGGGCACATTGCTTAGCCAGGGCTTTAGTGTGCCTTTTTTCTGGATGGTGGCCGCCTTGCAGCGGCAGACGACATCCGCGTGCTCGCCGCAAATGGAGCAGATCGGTTCGCTGTCGACAGGATTAGAGACAGTGTGGTTGGTTTCCGGTTCACCGCCGACCACAGTCGGTATGGTGGCGCCGGAGGAGCTGCCGCTCAGCTCCAGCTCGTTGACTGCATCGACGAGCGTTTTAATGGCAGCCGCATTTCCCGGTCCGGACGATGTGCTGCCCTCGCCCATGGCGGTCACCTCCTGCTCCTCGTAGTTGGGACTGAGCAGCAGCTTGGAGAGCGGCGGCGCCAGACCCAGGCCCAGGCTGCGCTCATGGTAAAGTTCTGAGATGCTGGGCGTCAGTTCGCGGTTCATGTGCCGCAATATGCTGTCCTGTATGCACTTGGCGCTCGGCTTAACCGGCGTCTCCTCCAGCGGCTGTTTGGGCTCGCCCAACAGCTCGCTGTCCGCCGGCGAGAAGTATAGGCTGGCCGGATTGAAGGCCACACTGGCAGCCGCCTCCTCCTCCGTCAATGTCAGCGCCTTGCGTTGCCCTCCACTGGCCATGCCGGCAGCAGGGCCAGCGCCCGCTGCTGCTCCATTGGTCGACGCTGGTGCGTTTAGTTCCGTGCGCACGCTTAGTCTGTCCATGAAGAGGGCATGCTCCTTGTTGACCCGTGCCGCCAGTGAGCTCTGTGCACTGCCCAGCTTAATCTTCGGCTTGCTGCGTCCGCCCGCGCCCAAATTGTGATAGACTGGCGGACGGGGTGGTGGCAGCGGCGGCTGTTGCTGCTGTTGCGTCTGCTGTAGTTGCTGCTGTTGAGCGCCGGCCGCTGCTCCACGTCGCAGCACAGTCGCATGGCCGGAGCCCTCCCAATCTGTTGTCGTGCTGCTGGCCGAGCTGGAGCTATCGGGCCGGCGGCCAGTGTTAGCCGTTGGCGCCGCTGAGGAGGATACTGTGCCCGGCTGCGCGTAGAGGCAGCGTATGCGCGTCTGGTGGGCCAGTGCCAGCGAAAGGCTGGGATCGGTAACCGGTGGACTGGGCGTAAATGCCGCATCACTCTCGCCGCCACCGCCAGGTCGGGAGACACGCACCGGGCCACGCAGGCTGGCGTAGCCTAGACGCGGAGCCGGCTGGCCGCTGCCCGCCTGTGTGGCATAGCCATCGGAGAGGGAGTGTTCGCTGTCCGTGGTGTTGGCCAAGCTGGAGTCGAGGCCGCCGCCGCCGTCGGGTTCGCCACGTCGCCGCACGTATGAGATGAAGGCGCTGCGCGGATGCAGCACCAGCGGCGGTGATTGTGTGGAGTTTGCACCAGTGGCAGCTGTGGAGTTTCCGCTGCTGGCAGCTGGCTGCACGGGAGTGGCATCCAGATCAGGCTCAGCCAGGGATTCACAGCTGCTGCTGCTGCTGTGTGCCGCAGAGTCCAGGCTTAGGCTCTTGGGCGCCTCATGCGTGTCTGTAAGAAATTCGAAAGAAGTTGTAAAACGCCAGCTCTTTGATTTCTGGCCAGGATCCCTTACCAAAGAGCGCGAGCAGCGCCTGCAGCACAAACTGACAGTGTCGGCGATTTGCCTGCTTCCCGGTGCGCAGTATCACCTGATCCGCGCCCACCTCAGTCAGATCGAAGCCCACGGAGGCCAACAGCTCATGGCAGCCGGCGACGCGCCAGAGGCGCACGCTCAACGGCATCTCGATGCAGGCCTCAGCCTCCGGCTTGGCTGGGAATATGGCCAATATGTTGCGCACCACAGCGATGATATCGTCCGCATGCTCCGCACTGTTCACCAGCTTGGCAAGTGCCTGCAGCGTGGCGGGCGTCAGTGCCAGCAGCGCCTGCAGGCTGGCCGAGCACTGCGATAGACGTTCCTCTGGATCGGTTTGCGGGAAAAACACACTAGAGGGTATACCATTCGCAGCCGGCTCAAAACGAAAGCCCACTGCCATCAGCAGATCCTTCCAGCCAGCCACAGGTCCGGCCTTATTCTCAATGCTCTGCTGGGTCGTGTACATGGCGTTCTTCTGGCCGCGATGTATTCGCTGCAGACTCTTCTCCACCAGATGTAGACACACGCGCAGCGCATCCCGGCAACGCTCCGGCGTCCTCAGCAGCTCGCACAGCGCATGGCCCAGCAGTGCCACCTTGTTCGATAGCCGCACATTGGCACCGACGAGCAAGAAGCCAGCCCAGTTGGCGGGATGAGCAAAATGCTTTGTGTGCTGAACCGTTTGCATGGCCTCCGCCAGGGCGCTACAAAGGAGAGCAGAGCCAACGATTAGATTTGATTCATATGTTCCCTTAACATAAACAGCTAAGAACAGGCTCCTTTCGGCAGTGCCGATTCTTCGCATCTTAAGATGGTTTATAATAGCTACTTACCGTGCTGCCCGTGCACCTTGCAGCAGGGCCGAGTAGAAGGCGCGCAATAGAATTTTGGCTGCCGTCTCCGGCACGGGCCACAGCGAGATGAGCACCGCGCCGGCGCCGGCTAAAAGCCAGCCGCCGGCCAGTTGGGCAACGCCACTGCCCGTTATGGGCTCCACCGAGTGATAGGAGCTGAGGACGACGAGGCGTGCGCCGAGTCGCAGCTGACGCAGTTCGGCAGCTGCCAGCGTGAAGTCGGATAGTTGTGGCTCGTGGGGTTCCTTTTGTTGCTGCTGCTCGGCGGTAACTACATCGCCTGGACTGAGCACCACGGCACCGAGCTTCCAGCTGAGATTGGCGGCAAAGTGCACACACTCCGCGCTTGGCAGCTCGGCCAGCACCGATTCCTTGGTGGCATTGCAGCCGGCCAACGCATTCGCCTGCAGCATGTCCGCTACCATGGCGGCCTCCTGCAAAGCCGCTGGCGATTCAGCGGCTGCCCAGCCCCAGCGCTCGGCGAGGGCGGCGGGCACACGCGGTCCACCGACTACCAAGGCTGTGGGCGGCCGTCCGCGATCCCGACGACTTCTGGAGCGGCCCCGCAGTGCCTGGAGCGAGGGCGCCGTCAGCAGAGCACAGCGCTCCGAGAGATACTCGCCATCGTCTCCAGCTGCGCGCAATATGGCAAATGGCACCAGATAGAGGGCACTGTCCAGCACTAGGATAAGCTCGCGTCGACCCTGCCGCGAGACGCTGGCACCGCTGGGCAGCAGATCATCGAATGGCGCCAGCAGCAGATTGTAGAGCGTGTGCAAGCATGCGGGGCCTCGCCAGGCAGGCGGAGCTGGCGCCCGGCGCGAACTGCGGCTGCCCACGGAACGTGTGGAGCCCTGCAGGCTGGCCACGGAGCCCAGTGAGAACAGCGAGCTGAGCGAGTAGTTTGATGAATTCAACAGCTGATTGCGGCTGACCATGCGCAGAAAGCCGCCGCCACCGGCGCCAGCGCCGGGCAAATCCTCCAGCAGCTGCTCGCTGCTGGCGCGCCAGCCGCTGCCATCGCCCTCGTGCAGCAGATTCTGTGAGTTGACGCCCAGATTATCGCGTACCATATTGACATATCGCTCCAGCAGCACATGACCAGTTGGTTCAGATTCACTGTCGCACTGCTGCGATTGCGAGTGCGGCTGCTGCTCATCCTCCTCCTCCTCGTGGCACTCGCTTAGCGACAGCGGCAGCTGCAAAGTCTGCGGATCAATGCGCGCCGCATGGAAGCGCACAATGCCCGACTGTGGCTGCAGCAACCAGGCGTAGAGCTGCTCGCCGGCCAGACTGTAGTAGAGCACGGGCATTCGGCCACGATTCACTGCCTCCAGTATGGCCTCAATGTCGGCCAGTGTTCCTGCTGTTGTTGACGTTCCCGTTGCTGCTGATGTTGTTCCTGTACCCTTGGAATCGCCGGCAGCCGCATCGGCGCCACTGCGCGCCTTGCAACGCTCCGCGGCGACCAGCGCATCCTCGCTGCGCTGCAAAGCGACCAGCAGCTGCTGGAGCAGATGATAGCAGCTCGTCTGCAGCTCATACAGAGCCAGGCGCGCCTCCGGACTGCGCTGTTCCTGGCGCACCGACTCCAGCAGCTGAGCTGCCGTTTCCAGTTGTATGCGAGCGCCCTCAGCGTCGCCAGAGGAGCGCAGAGCAAGACCTGTTTGGAGAAGATAGGATTAGGCTTGGACCCAAATGCACGTGTGCAGTTCCACAGCTTGGCTACTTACCCAGTTGATGTCTTATCTTGGCCTCCTCCTCCGACTTGCCAATGGACTGAGCGCTGGCCAAACCCTGGCGCAAATACTCTACCGCTTGGGCGTGCTGCTCCAGCTGATGATGCACACGACCCAGGGCACCGCAGGCCAGTGCCTTGCCCAGTCGATCAGTGCTGAGCGCAAGCTGGCGTTCGTAGCATTTGAGCGCCTCCTCCTGTTGACCCAACGCCTCGTGTACGGCGCCCAGATTGCCAACGGCGCGTGCTTGCAGCGCCGGCGCCGCCAGCTCCGTGCAGAGCTGCAGATCCTGTTCGTGTAGCTGCAGCGCCTCAGCATGATGGCCCATCCGCTGCTGCACCTGGCCCAGTGCACACATCGCATCCGATTCGAGGGCGCGATCCTGCAGGCCGCGTGCCAGCTCCCGCTGATGCTCCAGACAGTTGAGCGCCTGGGCGTGATTGCCCAGCGCGGCGTGTACATGACCCAAATCACCGTAGGCCAGCGCCTTGACCTCGGCACTGTGCAGCTCGTGGGCGACGACCAGGCGCTTCTCCAGGCAGACCAGAGCCGCCGCCAGCTGGCCCAGGGCACGTCGCGCCTGGCCCAGGCCGCGATAGGCCCGCTCCTGATCCCGATGGCTGGCTAGGCCCAGCGCCAGCTGCAGTTGCCGTTCATGACACTTCAGTGCCTCCTCATAGTCGCCCAAGGCGGCATAGCAATCGCCCAGATGTCCCAGCGCACGGGCGCGATCCGCTTGCGTCGAGGGCAGCGAGACGCGCTCCAGTGTGCCCAGCTGGGCCTCCAGGCAGCCAATCGCCGCCTCGTAGTGCGCCATATTAAGCCGGGCAATGCCGAGATTACCGTGCGCCTGGGCCTCTACGGCCGCGTCTCGCTGCTCCTGGGCGCGCTCCAATTGCTCCTGATAGCATTTGACCGCATGCGTCCAGCTGCACAACGCCATATGCACAGCGCCCAGGTGGCCATGAGCCCGACACTCGCCCGCCAGATCGCCCAGCTCCTGGCGCAGCGTCAGCTCCTGTGTGTGATGCCCCAGCGCCTTGTCCCAGCGGCGCAGCAGTCGATGCGCTAAGCCCAATGCCCCACAGGCGGCCGCTTCCATGGCGCGCTCACCGGCCGCCCTGGCCAGCACCAGTTGGCGCTGATACAGCTTAATGGCCTCCTCGTGTGCGCCCGTGCGGATGAGTATGTCGCCGATGTTGCCCAGCGCCCTAAATTTGGCCGGCAGCTGGCCCGTTGCATGCGCCACGGCCAGAAAGAGCTGCTGGCACTCCAGTGCGGCGGCTGTGTGACCCAATGCCAGATGCGCCAGGCCCAGATTGCAATAGGCGCGTCCCATATGCGGCCGATGTTGTGCGTCCTTGGCCAGTGCCAGATCCTGGTCGTAGTAGCGCACGGCAGCCCGGTAATTGCCCAGGCAATAGTGTGCATAGCCCAGCAGATGGCACGCCTTGCCCTCGGCGGCGACGTCGCCCAGCTCTTGGGCGAGCATTAGATAGCTCTCATAGTGCGGCACTGCCTCGCCGTACAGCTGCCGGGCGCTGAGGCAGTTGCCCAGATTGAGCAGCGCGCAAGCTTCGCCCGCTGCATCCTTCAACGATCTGGCGGTTGCCAGATGGGCGCGATAGTGCGCCAGTGCGGCATCGTGGGCACCCAGTGCCTGGTAGGCCACAGCCAGATTGCCATGCGTAGCGGCCTCGGCGCTACGATCGTTTACCGCCTGGCTGATGGCCAGCTCCTGTTTGTGATATTTGACGGCCGCCTCGTAGGCCCCAGCGGCAGCATGGGCATTGCCCATATTGCCATAGGCACGTCCCATGCCCGCCCGGTCGCCCAGGGCGCGCGCGATGCCTAAATGCGCCTGGTGCAACTTCAAGGCCGCATCGTGGGCGCCCAACAGCTGGTACACAATGCCCAGATTGGAGCAGGCTCGACCCTCGCCGAGCTTGTCGCGCGCCGCCAGCGCCATGGCCAGCTGGCGTTCGTGCCAGCGCTTGGAGGCGGCCGCATCGCCGGCACAGCGCGCCGCATGGCCCAGGCCAGCATAGGCGCGCGCCTCGATGCTGCGATCGCCCAGCGTCTGGGCAATGCGCAGCACCTGCTCATGACAGGCGGCCGCCTGACCGAACTGCCGTCGCTGATGATGGGCGGAGCCTAGATTGGAATAGGCGCGCGCCTCCTCTACCTGATCGTGCAGCTTGCGCGCCAGACGCAGATGCTGCGTGTGGCAATCCAAGGCCGCCTCGCACTCACCCAAGGCCAAATAGACGGCGCCCACGTTGCCAATTTCGCGGGCCTCCTGCAGCCGATCGCCGAGCTGCTTGAAAAGCTGCACGCACTGCTTGTGCGAGGCCAGGGCATTGGGATAGTCACCGCTGGCGGTGTAAACATGGCCGAGCGATGTTAGCGCCGAGGCGGCTGCCTGTGTGTCCTTGCACTTCATGGCCAGCACCAGCTGGTAGCGATGCGCGGTCAGCGCCTCCTTGTAGGCTCCTTGACTGAAGTAAGCGGAGCCGAGATTGCCATGGGCGCGACACTCGCCGGCCGTGTCGCCCAGCGACTTGGCCACGGCCAAATCTTGCTGCATATAGCCAATCGCCTGGTCCAACTGATTGAGCGCCCAATGCGCCGAGCTGAGAGCACTGAAGACGGAGCCGCGCAGCTTTAGGGAGCAGCTGCCAATGCGCAGTGCGGCCTCCAGCACGGCGACAGCCGCCTGATACTGTGAGGCCTGCAGCAGCTCCTGCCCCACCACGGAGCTGACCACAAACGGTGACTCGTGCAGCTGCATGGCGCGCAATTGCTGCAGCGTTGGCTCGAGAGCCGCTCGTAGCGGACTCTTTAGTGAGGCCTCGACGAGACCAGCCAGCAGCTGCTTGTGGCTGGGCTCCTGGGCCAGGCCGGCGGCAAAGGATGCCAGCGCCTCACCGTACCGGCCCAGGCACTGCAAAGCGACGCCCTGGCGAAAGTACGCCTTGGGCCACTGGGGACACAGCTCGCGTGCCTGTGTCGCATCCTGCAGCGCCGCCGCAAACTGGCCCTGCTTGAGTCGTGCCGCCGAACGATTGCTGTATAGTATGTGATTGCCCGGATCCAGTTGCAGTGCGTCCGTATAGAGCAGCACAGCGGTGGCAAAATCGCCGCTCTGGCAGGCAGCATTCGATTGACGCACTTTCTCCAGGAAGAGCGCACGATTCGCGGCGGGCAGCTCCGGCGTGCATTCCGGTTCGTTCTGCAAATAACACAACAAACAAACTTGCATTACAATTGGTGAGCTAGGCAGATGATATAAATGTGATGGAAAAAATTGTTTGACAAAATTGATCTGTTTGATTTCGCAAGAAAAAAGGAAAATTTATTGAAACAGAGGAACACATATTTGAGCACAGAGTCCATCAAACTAACACACATGGAACAGATATTCAAAATAGATAAAGTTTTACTGTAGATGGCAAATAATTTGCAAGCAGCAAGCAGCACAGTAATTCTTCTTAATGATCTTAAGAGTTTCAAGGCAAAATCATAATTTGCTTGTCCCAGTCAAACACCTTTGAAAATATGGCCAGCAATATCTTGATTTGTTTAATTTCCATGAGACATCAATAACGAGACGCTTTGCCCCACTGTGGAGCCTCAACGCTGCGCTATAATTATGTTAAATTGCCGCCGCGCTCGATGCTACAGCTGCAGTCGCAGTTGCTGTTGCAGTCACAGTCCCAGTCCCAGTCCCAGTTCAAGTCCATGCTACAGGTATGCGGCCACTGAGTCACGTTTCTACCGGCGAACTGCCAACTGCCAACTGGCAACTGCCTCCAATTGCTGTTCCGCCAGCAGTTCTGCTCGTCAAATGCGGAAGCAATTCCACGAATTCGTGGCCCAAGAACTGAGCCACGACGTGCAGCAGCAAACAGCCAACAGTCAACAGGAGGCAGACAGTGGCAAGGAGAAGTGTTGAAGTCTGAGCCTTTTTTGGCATAAGCTACGCCATGGAAGGCCAACCCGAACGAAAACGGGAACGGGAACGTAACCAAGGCTGAGGTTGAGGTTGAGGACGAGGACGAGGCCGTGACAAGAGCGTAGAATTTTTACATATTTTTGAGGCAATTAAATGGAATGAGTATGCAAATGCATTAGCCCCAGCTTCAAGACACAAAAGCCAAAGCCAAAAACCGAATCCAAAGCCGAGACCAAAGCGATGAGCTCTTTCCTAGAAAACGTGCACAGCAAGTGCCAAATGCCAAGTTCCAAGTGCCGTTGTCAAAGAGTGAAACGAGGAGGGGTGAGCGGTTGGCTGGCCTGTTGGGGCGTGGGTTACGGATAAAGTGCTTAGATTAGCCCGCTGGCTCGCTGTCGTTGTTGTTTCTCTTGTTGGTTTTTTTCGGGTCCAGCCAATGCGAATAAATCAACTCGTCGATACATGCAGCACTCATACGTGCGCATAGATACTCGCACAAGTGGCAGCCACGAAATGTATCTGACAGATGCAGAACGAAATTTATGTTTTATGCAACCATTAAGCGCACCCGTGCCCCCGTCCGGCGGCCATCCACTCGCACCCGATAAGCCAAATGAAGTGGGCGTTACAATAGCAGAAGAAGAAGAAGAAGAAGTGGAATATAACAAACAATCAAAAATAAAAACAAAAGCAAATACTCACGCACACACACACACACACACACATACACACAGGGAACCGTCGAACAACTTTAAAAACCACTCGCATAACTTGGCAAAATGAAATTTTTGCACAGCGTTGGCGTTGCTGGCTCAGATCACAGCGAACAGATTGGCCCAAGACAGTCAGCCAATGGTCAAAGTTAAATAAACACGCACCAAACATGCCCATGCTAACCCAAAGACAGACAGATAGACGCACCAACGGCCAGATCAACCGTCTAAGGCCAAGCCGAGCGGAAGGGAGCGCCGTTTCATATTAGCAGATATTATCGTTCCAGCTAAAAGTAATAATAACTGACAGCCACTACGAACTACGAGCATACCGAAATGCCAACAGCTTGACCTTAGAGTTTATCCGAGCCAAGCTGTGAGCAACGGATACGACTGGATAAACTGCACCTGATATCAATTAATGCCGGATTTTATGCAGAAATTTAGCGTTCCGAGCAAAAGACTGCGCTACGGATAAGTTTGGTTAAGCTGCATATGTTGCTGATTTCAATATTTGTATACAAACACAAACTAGAGTCAAAAACTAGTTCATCACTTAATTCAGGAATTTCACTTTGAAGTCATGCATAATACTCGTGATTCCTTACCATGCTTTGCCTATAGACGCGGATTATAGAAATTCAACTGTTATATCATCAGTCACGGTTTTTATGCATGCAAATAATTTGGATGTTTATCCGAGCTAAGCATATATCCACGGGTAAGTTTCAAATGCAATTTTCACATGTCTATAAGCATGCCCTAGATTGATAAGCAATGTGGAATTTTTAATAATGTTCTTATGCAGAAAGTTAACATTGACGGTTATCCAATCTTACATCGAAAAGATTGTTCCTAGATTTAAATTTAAAAAACTTATTTTGACTTTAATCCAAGTACGGGTTTTCTCCCCGATAAGTTTTAATTAGCTATATACATACCTTTGCCCTATTGAGATCGTTCTATATATATATCTAGAGATGTTCCTTGAAACTGTTTAAGAGTCGCAGACAAACGCATTTCAGCATGTATTATATGAATGCGCAGTATTAACTAAGCGACAACCGACTCGGTAATTCCTGGCTCAATCCGTTTACTTGTCAGAGAGGCTGTTAAGACCCTTGCGCAGCGCGTTGCATGCTTCGTGCTGTGTATCAATTTAGGGATTGGCGCCCAAATGCCACATAGAGAAGTCATGTAAGCTGATACGTCTGCTATCCCGCTTCAACAATTCCAACAAAAACAACGCCAGCCAAAAAGCTTCTATTTAGAAAAATAGTCAAAGACGAAAGAATCTTGTAGCAAGAGGCTGGCAGCGAAAGAGGGAGAGAGAGAGAGAGAGAGAGCGGAAAATATAGAGAGAGGGAGAGAGCGCGCAGAGATCGGGGCGACCAGGAATGTGTAAGAAAAAAATCAACCAGCGATTCGAGAACTGGTCGCGCTTCGGCTGCCGCCAGCCTTTGCCTGGGCGGACAACAGCGCAAAAGCTGAAAAGGAGAAGAGAAAAAAAGTGGCACCCAAAGATGGAACCAGGCAGCAGCCGCAGCAGCAGTTGGCTTCAAGTTTTGGCCTGCCATGCCACATGCAACTTGTTGAACTGTGTGTGCGTGTGGAGTGGTGGGGCGGGGAGCGATATGTGGCAAGTGGCAAGTGGCCAGAGCCATATGTGAGCCAGAGGCACACCGCAAGCGTCCCGACGGCCCATCGATAGAGTCGCCGCATTGGAATGCTAACAATTTCACGATTGCTTGTGGCGCACATTGGCATGTTTTGTGCTTAAGTCAAGAATTTTGTTGCAATTTAACGCGTAATAAAATAATTAGCTGTTGCTTTTCGTTCACGGCCTCGTGTTTAGGTCCCCCCCCCCACATACACACAAATAACCGTGCTTTTCTATCCGGCTGCTGCTGAATGTGCTTAGCACAGCCGGATAACAAACACAAATATTATCCACAAGCTAAACTAAGCAGCCTAAAAATTGCACAGAGAACCAATTTGCTGGCATCTAGTTGCCTAGACGAATGCCCAAGCACAAGCCTAACCCCGGCGGATCAGTCAGTCAGTCAGCCCGAGAGACAGACCGAAGGACAGACGGACAGATAGTCAGACAGCAGCGGGATGCTTCTAAACATGCGCCAGAAACTTATCCAACAACGTTGACGTTGTCGTCCTCAGACTCGGTCTTAGTCCCGGTCTCAGTCTAACTCTCAGTCCCAGCCTCGACGTTGTCGTTGTTGTCGTCGTTGTTGCCCATGACATGACAGCGCGGAATATGATGAAAGGGCCTAGGGTGTAGTCAGAGCTGGAAAAGGGTTTGTGTGTTTGGCGTTTTTATCTCTGCGCTTTGTTTAATTTGGCGTGTGTTTCATTGTTGTTGTTGTTGTTGTTGTTGTTGTTTCTGTTGTTTCTGTTGTTGCTTAGCCCTTTTGTTGTCTCGCCGCTCAGTTAATCAACATTGAAATCATTTTGCCATCTTTTTGATTATTAGCGCTTGCTTCGTTGATTGTTTTTTTTTTTTTTTTTTGCTTCTTTTCGTTTTCTTTAGCTGGTTGTAGTTGTTATCTGTCTTAATTTTCAAGCGCACTGGATGATTAAGTTTCTGTGAAGGTCATAAATAATTGTCATGGTGTATAAATTGGGAACTTGAAATGCATGCATGATCAACAACAGCAGACATGATCAGCGCACGGACAGTGCAGATAGAGATAAAGTCAATGCGACTTTCATTTGAGTTCAGGCTGCAGCTGTTGAGGGATCGGATTGTAGGGACTGGCAGCTATGAAATTTAAAGCCAGCGAGCATAAATTGCACTTATATGGGCTTATCCGTTGTTATCCGGTATTATCCGTTTTTATCCAACACTATTCAATGCATGTGCAAAAATTAACTAAAACGATTTCATTTTTCTTAAGCCATTTAAATACAAAATTCTTCGCTTAAAGTCAGCAAGCTTAAGCTATTGAAGTATTAAAATTGCACTTATCCGTCCTTATGCGTTTTATCAGACACTATTAGCAGCTCACCAAATGTGCAAAAATGAATTAAAACAATTAAAATTGGCATGTCCCAGATCAAATGCAAAATTCTGAATAGCATAAAAATTCACATTTAAATTCTTTATACCTTTCAACAGAGTCGCCTTGCTATAATTTGTGCCGCCCTGAAACCTGTCATTTCAGTATTTTCCATTTCCATTCACACTCAATGCGAATTCCCATTGCCCTTACAATACCCATTACAATTCTCATTCTCAGGCTTACCTCGGAGAAATCCCGCTGCGACATTTTGTTCAATAGCTGCTCGCCAACAGCAAGTTTGCCATTGTTCTCATTATTATTTGCATGATTATTTGCATTAAAATTTAATGGCAAATTTATAAGATTCTCATAATTCGTCATTTGTATGCGAGAACCATCAAAGCGTCTTCAGCATGCCGGTCTGTAAGAAAATAAGGAAAAGAATCAGAGAATTGAAAACAAATGAAACAACGATTTTGAGAGAATGTGCGAATTGAAAGACGTTGATATGATGCTGTACTAAGCCTGGCAATGGGAGAATCAAACAAAACCTTCAAATACTCCAACGAGAGAATTCTAGAGAAGTTCGCCTGCTGCTGACCAAACGACGTCAACGGCATACGGCTCTTATGCAAATTCAGGCCCTGCCGCAGTCACATAAACTTGACAATTGAATGTGGCCATAAATTTCTCGGACCTCAGACGTGTCGTCCACGCCAGCGGCACAGTGGACATAACTGTGTGCGAATTCTGCCGCTTACTGGCCAGCGGCGCCTCAGTATCGTGACCATCGGCCCATCCCCAGTCTCTGACTCCGGCATCGACTCGATCTCAATGCCAGTCTCTCATTCATTCTCAATACCAGTCGCTAAGCAGCTGAGCGGCTGCTGTGGCTTCTTGTGAAAACACATTGTATATTTAATTTGTTATCATTTAATTGGGTTTGGCGGTAGCTGTCGACGTTTTTAGAGAAAGTTCACATTAGCCAATTTAATTAAAAGCCAAATGGCCACAATGTAATATTGGCCAAATCACTTTGATCTCCATTTCATTAGCACCGGGAATGGTATTGACGACTCTGAAGAGTGCATGAAGAGTGTTAAAACTGTTTGTCTTTTGATGTACATTGCTGCGGTCCGCGGTCCGTGGTTGCTGGCTGTTGGCTTTGGTTTCACGGAAGCCGTAGCTGTGTGTATATACCTTAGTATCTAGTCTAGTTTTGCATGTTGATTGAAATGTTAGGCACAATGACAAAAGACTTGAGCGACAAACCTGAAATGCCACACGCCGAACAGAAGACTTAGGACACAAACTTGTTGCGGTTTCTTAATGATATGCAACGTTCGATAAAGAAGGGCTAAGAAGGCATTATTTCTTGCGCTATTAACATTATTAATAAATACTATTTCATAAGAGCATTCATTTGCATGCACATTCACATATTTATTCATTTCTCTTAATATTATCTATTAGTCTTTTGTTTAGGCTTTGGCGCTCGGACTATTTCCGCCAGAGAATTGATTTATTGAGCGCAAGCCATTAAATAAATTTTGCTTTTCTGTTTGTTCTACCCTGATGGGATTGAATGCTTATCAATTGCGCTGCCGTCTGCTTTTTTTACTTTGATTGTTTTTCGTGCCTTTGCGGCTGCCTTTTGCGCTGAGTTTTATATTTTTCATATTCATTTCTTCTTTTTTTTAACGATTACGAAGCCCGGTTTCATTACAAATGAGCTAATTTAGCTACATTAATGGCTTTATAATTGTACTTTGCCCGCTCGCTTTTATGGCCGATCAAGTTCGAGAGGAAAAAGCGGAGCGACGAGCAACTGAAACTATTGTACAGCACTCTTTGATTGTGTCGGCAAAAGTTGATCAAGTTTGGTTTTATTTTCATTTTTTTTTTTGCCCAGCTGTACATACATATTTTCAACTACGTTCGTGCCCCTAGTCTTTGACTTTTTTTCGCTCAACGCGCAAAAATGAAGTCATACGGGAAATGAATCCCCTTAAACACACAACTTTGCAATAAATCTCACTTTTAATACTTTGTTTTTTTTTTTTTTCATTGCTAAATGAAGCAAAATCTTCAAGCTTGGCAATATTATTTATACTAGGGGCAAACAAAGAAGATTATTATACGGCTGCTCGTCGCTAAGATCTAAGCACTTGATCCCATTTTCTGTGGGGCAAATGTAACCTTGACTTACAGACATTCTTTCTTCATCTGGCAACTCTGAACTAAGTTTTCTACGTGTTCTTGTAAGAAAATCATATCCAGGGCTGCCAACCCGTTCAGCCCTGACAACAGCCACAATTAGGCTTTAGGGTCTTCGCTGTTGTTGTAGCTCTCCACCCTCGTATATTTTACCTTCGCCTGAGACCAAATTGTGGCAACAGTGTTGCGCGTTGGCGACTTCGTTGGCGGTCGTTCAACGAGCACAAAACACAGCCCTGGGCATTAGCATCAGCGAAAAAAATCTGTCGGACTGAGAAGAAGATACCCAAAACATGGCAGGAGCAGAGGAGCGGACGAGCTGAGTCTTTATTACAACATCTATAAATGATTTCCGCTATTAAAATAAAACACTTTTGCATAATTTTTCACTTAGAAAGGACGACGACAACAACAACAACAGCAGTTCGCAGCGATTGAGGCAGCGAGGAAACAGAACAGAACAGAAACGACAAAAAAGAAATTCCTCACGCTTCAGACGGCCGTGAGGCATGCCCGAAAATTCCGCAAGTCAACACGCCTACCCCGACCCAGACTGTGAGCCATCATCCAGATCCAGTGCCCCTGTCCAAGCTTGGGCTAAGACATATATTAACTGTCCCAGGCCGCCAGTTGAGGAGGCTCGTTGATCGTCATCGTCATCGTCATCAGCCTCATCGTCGTTCGTTTTTTGATGATGCCTCCTGCTTGCAACCTGTTGAAATGTGTGACAAATTGGGCGTAAACAGCCGATGTGAAAAGGGTGCCCCTACCTCCCTCCCCCTCCCCCTTTTTGGCCAACCCTTGCTCATTTAGTCAGAAACGTGGGCGTGACGTGAAGCGATTTTGTTACGTTCTTTTTTTTCTTCTCTGTACCAAACGATTTTTCAAGGCAAAAATTTGCTTAAGCATTGCCAAAAAATTGAGCCATAAATTTAAAGTTGATTAACATGCAACCCACTTTTTATGCACCAAGGCGGGCTGAGACGAAGGCGACCAAATTATTTGTGCTGTTCAAAATGTGCTGCCATATGTGAGTGCTCAAGTATTTGGTGATATTTTTCAAAACACTTTGTTTGATAAGCACTTGAATAAAGAAACTCTAACAAAGCAATCAATTTGTTGAGCATCAGGTGAGCGTGTGTCTGTGAGTGTGTGTATGTGTGCTGCTCAGGGCAACTGAAAATGTAGCTCAGTTGGAGCTCATTTCGGGTTGTGTTGGTTCTGTTTATTTTTAAATAGCAACGGATTCGTTCAAGTTCGTTGCCTAAGTCTTTTGTTTGTATGAAGAGTGAACCAAAATGTAATGATATGTGTACGATTGGTTGCTGTGGCCTTTACTTGGCAACTTGTCTATGACTAGTCGAGACACTCGTACAATTTCATTAAAACTCATTAAAATTTTTTGGCCATTTTGTAGCTGCCGTGAAAAGCGAACAAACCGTGCACGAAAAGCCAAGCTGTATAAGTGTGTGTGTGTGTGTTTATATATGAAAGACATGGACCAAAATGAAAAGCAATTTTAATGAAGCCAAAGTCGAAGTCGTTGCCGAGTCCGAGACACTTGTTGCTAGTTGTGGCTGCCGCTACCGCTGCCGCTATTGCTGCTGCTGTTGGCCACATTGTTGTTGCCTTATAAGCTGGCATGCATTTGTTGTTGCCCACAATGCGAGTGGCACGATGTAATTGACATCATTAGACTAAAGCGCGAGCAGCAAGCAGCTAGCAGAGAGTTCCGACCAAGTCGACCAAAAGGAGCGCTAGAAAGTGGCCTGCCAGAGACCCGTTATCAACGTTAACCGTTCTCGTATCCCATGCCATGGCAATGACCCACCGCAGCGCAGCGGCTAGCAACGTTGCCACTCACCCCCTCCCCCGCTTCTCACCTTCTTTTAACAGCACTGCAATCCATCGATTTTGAATTGTAAATTTCCCGAGCCCTTAATCTATGCAAAATGTTAAAAAAAAAGGCCCAATGGAAAATGCATTATGGTAATATAATGTGTATATGTATATGTTATGCTGGGCCTCTGTTTTCTCTCATTTGATTTATGCACCATATACATATGCATACATAAGCGCATATTAAAATTTTTTAATTTCCTTGGTTTTGTCTAATAAATTTCATGTTTAAGCATTTTCGGTCTACGAAATTTTCACTGAAAATTTATGGCCGCCACTTACCATGGAATGTGGCGACAGCGTCCGAACTGGAGTCGCCGACGCCGCGACGCAGTCGTCGTAAATTTTGTGCGCCTTTCAGTTGCTCATACACACAAATATGTGTGTATGTGTGTGTGAATGTATTTGTATTTGTATTTTTATAATTTGTTTAGGTTTCTGTATCGCGAACGGCTTCTGATTGTACGTGAGATTTTTCTGTTGGTAATTAAATTTTTTTTTTTTTTTTTAAATTTCAAACACTTTCATTGTATTGATGGATAACAGAGGAGTGTGAAGTATGGTTTGCAGTTTTGGATACTTCTATACACTGCCTGTTCTATAGATTTGTATGATCAGAGCTGATGGTTTTTAAATATCTCTCAGCCAGTTTTTTATTGTAGGTCTACTGTACTGAAAGTTGCCTGAGGATTAGGGTTGATAAACTGCAATCATTGCTGCTTGGCTTATTATCATACAAATGACTTAGGCAACGAACTTGTTGTATATACATACAGACGCAGGCACACACACGCACACACGCATAGAGACGCTCTTAATGGCCGCATTTATTTCACTAATTTCAAATATTTGATTGGCTTTTAAGAGTTTTGCATAATAATAAATAATTGCTTAAAATTGTTATTGTCTAGTCGTTGTTGTTGCCGTTGCCGTCGCCGTAATTTAAATTGTTTACTGTTGTTATTTGTTGGTATTTAAGTGTGTTATTAACTTATGTAAAATTGACTGTTGGCCGCTGCAGCAGCCTTTGAGTTGGCCAGAAAGGCATTTGGGCATGCCCAGAGACAACCGCCTTAAAGCAATGCACACACACACAAAAAACTCTTTTACTCTCTCGACACACACACACACACACACACACACACACACACACACACACACACACACACACGCACACGTACACACACAATCGTGGCTGAAACAAGTCAGGCAACTTTTTTATTTTTCCTCATTTTATTGGAAGCGGCCGCCGCTTTGGATTGCCTTCCTTTTTCTCTTTATTACAACTACTACCACTATATTGCTGTTGTTGTTGTTGCCTTTTTGTTATTAGTAGCATTTACTTTGGAATGCAACAAAGCGAGAACGTTTCGAAAAGTGACGACGACGGCGACGGCGACGGCGACGACGATGTTGGCAGCGCCTTTGGCCATTGACGTCTTGTTGCGAAAACAGAAAAATGCATGGCCTGGTTAGCACTCCACCGAGTGACAGAGAAGGAGTTAGCGAGAGCAAAAGAGAGAGAGAGAGAGGCGGAGAGATAGCGAGCAAGCGAGTGAGCGAGAGGGGGCGCGTGTGAATGAGCAGCATCAAAGAAGTGCGAGATGCAAAGAATGGGCGACCACAGCTCCAAACAGATGTCAAAAGCTTTCAGAGTTCAAAGGCCGCGGCCGTTGATCGCCTCTTTAACACAATTTGCCAGTTTACATGGGCCAAAACCAAAACAGAACTTGACACAAAACAACTCACGCATCAGCACGAAACACAGCCAAAAAATTAAATAAGCACTTTAATCCCCGTTGTGGTTGTTGTTGATGGAGGCCCGTTGCGGCCAGTGAAAAAAAAAGAAAAAAAAAACAATAACTAAAACCCGTATCGCGTTGCGTTTTTTTGCTTCGATGTTGAACGCGCCGCATGCAAAACTCAACTAAGACAAACACGAAGAAGGAGAAGACGGCGGCTCGCAGCGTGAGAGCGCGACAGAGAGAAAGAATAAAGAAAACAGGTACACAACTATAACAAGTATTGCGACCCGTTTACCTGTTTGAGCCGCTCGTCAGCGCTGCCAGATGTGCGCGATATGCACGATCTGGCAGCATGCAATGTGGCCAGACAGCCAAACAATTGACAGACAAGCGACAATCGATAGCGCTCGATAACTTGTTATAAATGGAATAGCACAGAGACAGGGTGTTTATTTGAGCGGTTGCTGAAGATTAATTACTCTTTCAGAAATACTCTGCTGCTGTGCGACATCAGTTTTGATTGGATTATTGTATGCCTTAAGATAACATCTGAGAGGCTATTCAGCATGTTATCTTTGAATGCACGCCCGTTTTAAAACATAACCGATTTGAACCGGTTAGGGATTCCAATTCCTTTATCATTCGTAACCAAGGCGAAACTCGAACCAAGCCATATTTTTCAAAAAAGTGCATGCCAATGAATTTATTTTGAATATATATTAATTTTCGGCCGTACTTTGTATATAAAAATATTTACGGCTTGCCGACTTTTTAGTACAACGGCAAACTGTCAATTTTAAATTGTATTGTTTCATCGACATTTTAAAATTATGTCACCTGTTTTTTAAGATGACGATAACTAGCTTCAAAAATTAAGCTTCGGCGCTGGGCTTGCAATCCTGATGGAATCAGGCAGACGGACATGTCATTATCATGACTATTTTTATACCCTGAACCCATTAAAAATGGGTATAAGGGTATATTGTATTTGTGCGAAAGCCAAATGTATGTAACAGGCAGAAGGAAGCATCTCCGACCCCATAAAGTATATATATTCTTGATCAGCATCAATAGCCGATTCGATCTAGCCATGTCCGTCTGTCTGTCCGTCCGTCCGTCCGTCCGTATGTATGAACGCAAGGATCTCAGAACATATAAGAGCTAGAGACTTGAAATTTTAGATGTAGGTGCTCCTAGTTCCCGCGTAGATCGAGTTTGTTTCCGATAATCGATAACTTACTCCGATATCGATATCCTGTTTTTTGGGCAATTTTGGTAAATAATAAGAGCTAGAGTCACCAAACTTGACATATAGCTTCTAAAATAGAATATATATATGCATTTGATGTTGAAAGAAGAGGGTTTAGGGTATCACCTAGTCGGGAGCTCCCGACTAGAACCTCTTACTTGTTTATTATACTTTAAAAATGTATTCTTTAATGTATTATTACAAAAGAGCCCTAGGCTCTCCGGCTCTGACTCTCTCTCTCGCTCTTTCTCTCGCGAACCCTCTCTAATAATTGTACGCAATATGACGATCTTCAGGGTTGTTTTAATTCCGTAACATACTTTGCGGCTGCCCCACGTAATATATGATAATTGTGTGTGCAGGTGCTTCCCCAGTGATAATCGGGCACACATAAAAACACGCTTGATTCATGCAAATCAATTTAGTAGTCAACAAGTTCTACAACTGGAACAACAACTGAAATATCAAATTGTTGAAGATGTCTGCTTGCAAGTTGTTTTATTTGTGGCTGTTGCTCGGCTGTCTGTTGGCCTTAGCGTCTGCCCAGCCACCCATAAGTGAGTTATTGTTGCGAATTTGCTATCCCAGCAATTGTAATCCTTTTCCAAACCCGTACAGCGCCACGCGACTGTCCACGCAATGAGGTGTTTCTGCCGTGCGGTCCCAGCTGCCAGACGGAGTGCGCCACCTTGGGTCAGCCCTGTCTAATAAGCCATATTCGGTGTCCCGATGGCTGCTATTGCGTCGAGGGCTATGCCCGCAACGCGGCTGGCTCGTGCATACCCCAGGCTCAGTGCCGCAGAAGTGGCTCCTATTCCACTTAAGCACTGCAAATATGATGACAAAAGATTGAAAAAATATTAAAAAACAGCTGTTGAGTTTTTTTAAACCTCAACCCAATGTTATTTTAGCACATGACGAGTTTTAATTATTAATCTACCCTGTAGCCGAAATACGTTTAAGTGGGGTATATATTGTGGCTACACAAAGAGAGCACGCAAAAGACGCTTGTCTTATAAACGCAAATAGCTGCTGTAATGCCACATAGATTTAGGTCAAGTGTTTAAACAAAATCTTTATATTATATGATTTGTATACTAAGCATTTTTGTTTCAATGAACTTCTGCTGAGATGGCAGCTAGTTTTGAAGGCCTGAGTGGTGTTTAAACTGCGAAGAGTACAATCGGAAACAAGTAAACATATTAAAAAACAAGACTCATTAAATACAAAAGCTAATATCTACAGTTTGAGATTCTCTGTGTTCAGGCCTAAGTGGTTGGTCTTGCTTTTGCTGATCAGTAGGTTTGTGTCTACAATTTGAGCGAAAGGGTTTATGTATTGGATAATATTCTGCAAGCTTTGCCGATTTTCATAGATCAAGCTATCAATTGGTTAAAACAAAATTAAGCTTCGCTTGTAGAAATTATTCTACCATTGTGAAGGATTTTAGTTTCCGTCGTCTGTCCGTCTGTCGGTATCTATGCAAATACGTCTATTAGTTTTACAGCTTTGAAATTTTCATTAGTTCCTTATAATTTTTCGGGCTGTGCAAATGTCGGAATTGGCCGGAACTTGTCACTATATCACACAGTTGTTATGGCAAAGATCGATCGAAAATAAGTACTTGTAAGAAAAACCTCTTTGTTTTTGAAGAAATCTTCACCAATTTCGTACTTTATTATTCTTCTTATGAACAATTGGTTGTTTGTATAAAAGCCAAAGTGTTAAAGAGAGTTGCTCTTGTCTTAATAATTTCAAATAATCAACTTAATAATATTAGTCATATATATATTGAAATCGGATATCGGATAAATAACATTAGACACTGATTAATATATATACTCTTTAAATATATTGTTGTTAATGTTTAACATTCAGTTAAGTCGCTTTTTGACTAGGCCTAACTAAGTATTGAGTGGATTATATGTATGCATCTATCAAATCCTATCAATTGAGAGGTCAGGAAACAGAAGGTGCAAAGCAACAAAGAACTTGCTGCCAAGTAAATCCGTATGCTCAGCCACAAAGCTGTTGCGTACAAAGGCGAAAGGCTTGGCTTGAGAGGAGGAGGAGGTCGGAGGGGATTGAATCGAGCTCTGACAACATGCAAAATGTAAATGTTTGCTGTCATTGAGTCAAAAATGTTGGCTGAAGCCCAAACCAAACGTTAATAAACTCACGTCAACCCTGCCCTGTGATAAGGGGGGTGCTCAATTTACAGAAGCAAACTGGCTGATATACAGTCAGTCAGTCAGTCAGTTGGTCTATCTATCTTTTTCTTTGTGAGTGCCTTTCGCTGGGCCCCTTTCTCTATTCGCATCCGTATGTAGCCTGCAATTTCGTTCGCCGTCTATGGATGGAATGAAAAGAACTGGCACGCTTGAATTTGAAATGCAAACATGGTTGTAGGAGCATGGGCTGCCCATATACCATATACCATTTACCATATACCATATACCATTCGCGCCCAGCTTTCGCCCGGCAACGTCCATGACGGCCCGCTATTTGCTTGTTAGTCTATTTTGCTTGACTGTGTCAAAGACGCAGCCAGGCTCCGCTCTTCAGATTTGTGTATTCCTCAATTCATTTAAAAAAAAAAAACCCGATGAATGACAAGCCAGCAGGGTGCATGCATGGCTCATAGCCATATCGGAACAACCAGCGGAAATTCAAACGCAATCAACATGAAAAACTCAAGGGAGTGGCAAAAAGAAACACACATGGGCAAAACAAAAATTTAGCCAAAAACAGTGAACCGAAAACAATTCACTATTGTCAAGTTGTATGCTATGATATACTCTGGCACGCTTACATAACTCCTAGTTGTTCGTCCAGCTTTTCTTATATATACTCTTAAATCAGAGGATATCATCCGTAAAATATACGTGAATTTTTGAGAGGTAATCTTGAATAAGTATAGGTTTGTTATTGGAATATCACTTTTGGGATACTGTGGTCATAGTGTTATATAAGGGATCCCATTAAATTGAAGTCATATTTGATTGTTTCACAGTTATGCGATATGAGCCTATCATATTGTATATATTTAGTTAATATATAACACCAAATTTGGTGTTCCAGCTCGAAACATCTCCGAAAAATGCTTTCAAACTTTGCTTTGAAATCGATATATATCGTTATTACAAAATTGGGGTAGATATCACGAAAAAAAATCAACTAATTCTGCATATGATACCCAGAAATATATTGCAAATTACAGGTCTTTACCTTTAGTAGTTTCCGAGATCAACGCGTTAACTTAGACGCCCAGACGAGCATAGGCATTCATACGAACATAACTAGATCGCCTCAGCTCGTCGAGTCCATCGAGAAAACATAAGCTTTGCGGAGTCGGGGGTACAGGTACAGGATGCATATAGGTTGATTTGCTGACCGAATTGAGCTGCCCCCATTCGGTTCGTTAAGAAATTTAACTGAAAATTGAAGAAGTAAGAAATAGAATTGCACAAAACTGTTTAAAAAAAAATATATATAGATAGTGTAAGCCTACGCGTATACCAAACTGAATTTTAAGTGGGTGCTAGGTTGTGCACGCGTATTCAATATACAAACTCATTCACACACGAAGCGCCCTTTTGTTGACGTCGCACAGTGGGGCCTCTACTCGAAAAATGTTGCAAAAATTCCAAATGCGATGGTAGGAAACTGTAAATAGGTCTTGTAAAGATGCATTCATATTACCTTATATCGATTTTTCTCTCATTTGATATTTCCCTTGATTATAAGGGCTAGGAAAATTTATTAGAACAAAAATAATACTTAACTTTTATATATTTCCATTCACCCCAATTCTTAAATTTGGATTTTTCCAATGAAAAAGGCCAGACGGCCCCACTGTGCTTCTTACCAAGCACACACAGGTATACAAAGCACACACAGCAAGATACACTAACCCACACACACACACCCGAACACTCACACACATGAACGCATCAAACGTATCATATTGAATTCATCGACAGCCAGTCCTTGAGCTCTTGCGATTGCTGTGCGGCATAAAAAGCCAACCTGTTCCTGTGCTGTGAGGTGATAGCAGCTTTGCGAGGTCCGTTGAACGTTTCAATTCACAACTGAATGATTTCTGGGGTATGGCCATAAAATGCACATATAATTTGACTTTATCTGTGCGGCCGGCAGTCAAACGATTGGCATTGAAATGGGTACAAAATGTGCTTAATGCTAAGTTTTTAGTACAATGCGAAAGTTGATATATGGCCAAAACACACACACACAACCTCTCACACACACAAAGGCCAACAGATGTTGACCCCTTTTTTGTGCCAAGTGTTGGCCCGCAGCGATATCTGCTTAAACAAATACAATGCATTTGTTAATATGTTCGGTTTCTATTCCGATTTCATTTCGTAACTTGGTATTCGGTGCGCCTAAAAGCTGTGAAGTTTTGAAACGAGGATTTGGTGAGGGGTACATAGCTATAAAGGGGCCAGTTATTTTAGAGAATGACAAAGCTTTAAAGGTTTATATATATATTCCTGAATGAGCTTTACAGCATGAAAAAACATCATTACAACCTTAGCGAGGGTATAAAACGTCGAAGAGTAAGTACGTCTGATTGGACTGAGCGAAAATTTGAATCACTGTTGTTGGAAAAAGAGGGGCACACGATGAGACGCTTTCATATTGCCCTTATACATAAAACTGCTTGTCCTGTCTGACTGACTGACTCGCTGATTTTTGATTAAAGCGCAGCCCAGACCGAAACAGTCTAATGAAATGTAGGTGCACGTTAAGAAGGAGTTTCGGGAAATTCCATCCGCGTGTCTGGAAAAATCACATAACATGAAAGATTATTATTTATCGTCCGATCGGTTTTAAACTTATTTTCCAAGATCCGATTTTCACGAGGTTAGGCTCTTTGTTTATGGTTTGCCTATAGATCAATTTGGCATCTAAACCTGGCAACATTATTCATGTAAAAATGGTACCCTCAAATATCAACAGGTCAAAATATCCCACCCCCATAACTCAGTCAAATCTCATCCGATTTTCGCCATAAGTTCTAGATAACTATATATATATAAATATTGAAAACTGAAAATCCTCATTAAAATTTTAAATTATATGAAAACCCAAGGCTTGAAACAAAACCTAGGCTAATGAATTTATGAAATCAGGGTCATGAGCCGAACCCAAAGCAGAAAGTTGGTTCAAATGGTGAAACGAACCACCGATAATTTTTTAAAATTATATTCAATGTGAATATCACACTTATTGAGATTGAAAATCATCAGAGAGTCAAATTCGGCTGATCCCCTTTTTTTTTATTTTTATATTTTTCTACTTTCTTAGTCTTTACGCCAGTTAGGTTTTCTCTTTCTGTCGGCTTGAAGTAATTATGGTTGCTCTCTCTCTCTCTCTCTCTCTCTCTCTCTCTGTCTCTGTCTCTCTCTCTCTCTCTCTCTCTCTCGCTCTCTCTCTCTCTCTCTCTCTCTCTCTCTCTCTCTCTATATATATATATATATATATATATATTGTGTGACAATATGGGTATCCAAATTTATTACCGTAGTCTCGATAATATGTCCGAAAGGAGATACCGGAAACTAACTGTTCCTGCTACTGAGCAGTTGCATTTCCCTGAAAGTCTGTTAAGGACTTAAAATCTGTTCTCATGTCATTTTTCTGCTTCTCTGCATAGAGCTGTTCAACTTTATCGTTTCGCCTCACATTGCATACTCTTGGGCGATTCAGAGGAAAAATCAATGTCATTTATGTTGATGGGACAGCACCTGGAAGTGGAATCGTAGGTGCGTAATACAATGTTTGTGTAGCTAACGCCACAGCGTCCACAGATGGCAGCAGCAACACCATAATCATTGATTGGGTCAATATGCTTGTGCCAAACACATCTCGCTGGATCGACAAATTGTG